TACCATAACAAGTCAGGTCTGTGTGAGGGCTTACACACACACACACACACACACACACACACACACACACACACACACACACACACACACATACACGCACAATAAGAGAGAGAAAAGCAGACTCTGGAATGATAAGATATACGAAGCCACCAGTACTGCAGCAGTAATGCCCAAAATTAGTAAGAGGAGGTCAGCTCTAGCTCTACCATCTCCTACCACTTCCCTCTCTCTCCCTCGCTCTCTCTCTCTCTCTCTCTCCCTCTCTCGCTCTTTTGTAAAAGTGAGTCAAAGCAGTCCTTTCAACCATAACTATGCTAATTTACGGTTTCATTATGGTTGTGTTGATGTATTAGTACTAAGTTCTGCAAACTGGACGTCAGCTATGGTCTCATGACGAAGTGTTGCATGTTGATAGTAATACTGATAACATATAGAGTAATTGTCTAATAAAGCATCCATTTAATTACATTACAGCACCTTAACGTCCAGGCAATGTCGTGTAATGTAATGTGATGAGTTCAAAGACTAAAGTTTAGATTTGTGACAGCACATAGAAGAACTCAGATACTTTTCCAAGACCTCTTTTGTTTCAGCATCGAACACGCCTTTGAGTCATCTGTGTCAGATTAGCGCGTCTGGATATTTGGATACTCCCTTTATTCCTCACAGATTTGTCCCGGTTTGGTCAAAATTTAAAGGGGAGTGTGCGTGAATCACATAGTTGAATTGGTTGGAAGGCTCCCACCCACCCACCACCCACCAACCTCACTTCACCAAGCTCACAATTGTTTTTTCAGCTGCGAAGCCCATCCCGACAACATGATGCTGCGCCCATGCTTCACAGAAAGGATGACACGGGAAAAGGAAAACACAAAGTTTTCAACAGAGCTCTAGTGCTGCTGTCACGTAGCTCTGGGCTCTGTTCTATACATTTTGGATTTCTAAAGCGTTTGCACATGTTATTGTCCTTCCATCGACATCTCCCGTTGCACCGCTACGCTGTTCACACTCTCAACGGTAATCCTCAGAGGGGAAGATATTTGATTTCATTGTGAGATTGGAGCTGCAGTTGTGGCATTGGAGACACGTATGAAAATGCATCTTTGCTGTCTGAGCATCTAAACCACTTACAAACAGAAAACAAAAGGCCCATAAACATACATACATACAAATGATCGATATATGAAAACCTTCTGCTCACCTAAAGGAAGCCATTTTCATCACCTATATTTCCCTTGTTTTGTTTTTCACAACAGTCAATCACATGATGATGAAAGTTTTAAATACTGAGTTGAGGGTCTAAGTTCAGCAAGAATTAACATTGTTTTTGTTTAGCAGGTCAAGTTTTAGATAGGAAAGAGCAAAACAAAGTGGCCACGTGGTCTTAGCTACATTTAGAGCATCTTACACTGAATGGCACTTTTATCCTCAGGGTTAACTTGACCTGAATCTTCACTCTGCCTCCATCCTGCCTTGTGTCTCCAACTCTCTCTGTCTTTTTCTTTTTTTCCCGTTTGTTTGTTTTATCAGGGAACTGTGACACACTGGAGAATCAGCGAGGGGTTGCAGTTGGAACTGAAGATGCAGGTAATAGCAAATCAATGAAGGGACAATCAACTGTGCGCCGCCTGTCATCCTCCTTTACACACAGCTGGATGTGAATGCATTTAAAAGCTCCGAGCAGCTAAGTCTCTCTAGTAATCATCAAATACGTTCCGTGGTCATATGGGTGGGGGGTAGTGCTTGACAGATAACAGTAAATCAATGGATCAACCAGCAGCGCTATCTCCAACACAGATGGGGCCGTTGAACAGCTTCAAATGGCCAGACAATTTGAACGGCAGCATCAGACAGATAATAGGGCAGATGTAAGGGTGCAGACTTTGGGCCAGTTCAAGAACCGCGCAGTTGAGAGTAAATCAATGACAAGCCTATTAACCTCTGTGTCAGCTGCTCCGGTGGCTGGATGAAAGAGGTAGAAGGAAGAGAGGCTGCTGAAGAAGAAGAAGAAGAAAAAGATGAATAGTGTAAGAAAGGATGTGGGTAGAGAAAGCAGAGATAGAGATTACAGAGAAATGCCAGATAAAGAGAGACAACTTCAAAAGTCTGTGAAAAGAAAGGAGTGCTGGTCAGTGTCTGGAAACGTCTGGCCCTTTTTTTTTTTTTTCCTTGATCTCTGTCACGTCTGTCTCATGCCCCCCGCCCCAAACTGAAAAATGATGCCCTGCATGGTTATTTGCCTGCAGAGGAGAGACAGCTGAGTAATTATTGCCTCAGTGGCGAGGCAGTGAACCACCGTGGTGTGGCAATTTGCAATTTTCTGCTTGTTGGATCAGATGCATCTGATCCATGTTTCTGTTTTGTTTTAACTGCATATGAATGAACGATACAAAATACATCAACATAAATGTGACAGTAGTTGGTTGACATCAGACATGAAAACCAACAAAAAGGGGCTGATAGGGCCGCAGTCTTTTAAGTAACTACAGCAGTAGAGCAGGTCTAATATATTTTATTGACTTTCAAAACACAAAAAAGAAAGCAGTGTTTCCTGAACACGGACACTTCACCACATAGCCTCATCACTCCGATTTTCTCTTTTTTCTTTGACCAACACACACACACACACACACACACACACACACACACACACACACACACACACACAAACACACACACCACAGGGTACCTCAGTCCGCAATTCACACTCTCCAGCACCATCTATTGACTGAGACGTGCACAAGCAGGAGCCTCTACATTTATTCTTTTGTATCATGATCATGCTTCAAAAGTTAAAGCCGCCTCACAGGACAACATTTCTAATTGATTCATGGCTGGAAAAAATATGTTCAGAGCGTATAAATAAAACCATCGGAAGAAATACTATCTGAACAAAGCAAACACTACATAAGTGTCCGAACGTGTGCATCTTTTACTTCTGCTCAGTAAGAGACAATATTTACTGTGGCAGGTTGCACACACACATAAAGAAGACGCTGCGTTTTTTTTTTAAAACCAGAATACGTCATATTACCGCAAAAACATTTCTGTCATATACATTTCAAACCTGTTACAGTAACACAGATGTGTTGTCTTAGCATACAAGGTCGACCAAAACTGAGTTTCATTCATTTCATTAAGAGAGCCATTTAACTGCCATCACAGTTAATTAGTCTTTCTGCTGATGAAATGCTTTAATGACACTTTGTGGGTACTTTGCCATGATAACTATAAAACAAGGTCACTAGAGGTCACTATAGTTCTCTCAAATGAACTCGTCACACTTTCCACGTGTGTTTAGTCAATAGCCTATTCTTGCCTTCAGTCAGTCTGTGTGGGTAATATTTCACAGCCTGCTGGGGCCTCTAACAATGCTACAGTGAACAAACAGCGCTAAGTCTAGTAGTCTGATAAAAGGAAACATTCAATCATTTGCATCCTGAATAGGAGTTCACATATATACAGTATATATATATATACTGTATATATATATATATATTTATAAGGCAGGACTGAGGATTCTGCTGAATCTCCTGCTGTGACCTTGATCACAGATACGCAGCAACATGTCAAGTGTATTCTCAGTAACTTGTTACATCATACTACGTCATGCAGACAGTCAGAAAAGGGTTTCTCCTACATAAATGTGTCTTCTTTCTTTCAGTTCCAAGCAATGGGAAATTATTGTAATTCCAGACAGCTTTGTTGTAAATTTACCCTCGCTATCCCGTTGCTGTTGTGTGTGTGTGTGTGTGTGTGTGTGTGTGTGTGTGTGTGTGTGTATCGGTGTGTGTGTGTCAGTGTGTCAAATTACACTCAAGTCTCTTTAGGACAGTCCTAAAGATAGTGACCAGGCAGGAGTGTGCTCATCTGGTGTAACATTGCAGCATTCGGATGCAGAAATAAAGAGAGTATAACTGCTACAGCATGACAGGAGGAGAAGAGAAGAGAAGAGAAGTGAAGATTACAACACATTGTACAACTGTTGAACATAAAAGAAGTGAAAATTAGAAAATAGGTGTTAAATCTGACAAACCTGTGTTGCACCTTAAAACCATTGAAATTAAAATCAATAAAATGCAAGAGAGAATAGAATAGAATAGAAAAGAAAGGAATAGATAGCACAATAACCACATGTCTATCACATATAATATATCATCATATAATAGACTAGATCAGATGAGACTAGACCAGAAAAGAAAAGAAAAGAAAAGAAAAGAAAAGAAAAGAAAAGAAAAGAAAAGAAAAGAAAAGAAAAAAATGTAACATTTCACTCTTGGCTTTTATCTTGTGAAATGTGCTCTGCCTATGCTGTGTACGCTTTGAAACATCAAAAACTACTGATAGTCTAACACCCGGAAGCCCAACTAAGCAAGGGAGAATAGAATAGAATAGAATAGAATAGAATAGAATAGAAAAGATGACCCAGGCCATCAAATGCTGGATGACAGGGCCCATCAGGACAGCAGGAGGGCTCCCTTGAAATTCAAGAATACAGGGATAACTTGATGTGTCTTCTTCAGGACAGCAAACTGCTTCTCTGAACACAAAACCGTACCGGCACATTTTGTCACAACACATTATCATCAACAGAGTCCAAACTCTAAAGCAAACATGTGCCTCCCCAAAGAAGATGGCATCCTTTTTTGTGTACTGTGCACTTCTCCTTTGTTCTCTCTTCCTCCTTTCTGCCCCTCTCTCTCTCTTTCTCACTCCTTCGTTCCTCTGTCGGTCACCTTGTCATGATGCGAGCCTCTCTCTGTCCTTCTTTCTTCCTCCGCCTTAACCACACAGATGAAGAAGATGATGATGCCTTCTGCGCCCCGCCAATGCTGAGAGGAAGAGGAGAGGAAGGAAGGAAGGAAGGAGGAAACTAAGGGAGGACGGGAGAGAGAGGCGGAGGGGGAGGGAGAGGAGGAAGGAAAGAAGGGAAGGGGAGGGGGGAAGAGAGAAAAACGAGAGAGGGGGGGAGGAGGGGGGCTAGTGGATGTAGCTCTAGCTGTGGGCCGGGGGGTGAGAGCTACCTAGCCCGGGCTGCTCTGCCGAAACATCCATGGGTGGCTGTGTCGGGAGCCACCACGACTCCTCGGGCAGCTTAAACGAGAACTCGGACGGCACTGGAGGTAACTTGCAGGGTTTAACAACGTCTTTAATGCCTACTAGCTTGGGTTTTTGGGGGGATAGGAAGAGGGGAGGGGGGGGGTTCCCCGAGGCTTTCTGCATGTTGTCCTGGCTGGAGGTCTTCTTCCCTTCCCTTATATCCGAGCCAGACAGAGCCGGAGACAGACTCGGCAGCCCTCCCGGGTATCCCCCTCTACACAGCGGGCCTTGAAGCGACAAATGATGCCTCGTCTCCTCGCTACTTTACAAACTGGGAAATATTTACTGTGCGACGCTGCCTCCCTTTGTTCTTTGGTGTTGACTGAGCTAGCCGGCTAAAACGTAGCCTGGTTAGCTTGCTAGCTTTTCTGCATAACAAATATGGGTCACAGACGGCGATGGCATGCAAGGGAAAGCAAAGAGGAGAGAGTCTGATTTGAATTAGGTCTGGACTGTGAGACTGCTTTTAGGTTATTCTTCGCGTAATGCAAGCTGCACTTGAGAGTACTGTTTGGCTTGTGTTTCCATCACATTTTGTTATGTATAAGCGATGTTGGGAGTATTTCTAGTGCTGCAAAGTGTTGAGGGGGTGTCAAAACTTACGGGGTGCTGCGGCTTTATGTAAAAGGAAGTGTGTGTTTGATACTGCAACTTGGACTGCGGTTATGTTTAGTGTACAAGGCCTGAGCGCAGAGAGCAATAACATGTTGTCCGTCGACTGTGAGCAGAGCAGAATAAATACATGACAAGACGTGTTTATTGAGCAATAAGCAGTAGTGCATGTATTGAGTAATACGTTACTCAATATTAATGCATTAAATAATGATAAAATGCTTATTTTTAAGGGTACATCAGTTCTTTTCTGGTGTAGAATAACTTGGATGACTGCTTTCAAACAATCAAGTTGCATTTTGTTTGTGGGCTGGTACAGTGTTACCTTCATTACGTAGTTTACAGAGGTGACACTGACAATTTTGGAAAGAGAGATGGCTCCAGTTTGCATAAAGGTCCCAGTACAGAATTAAACCGGGGATTGCAATTAGATAATATGCATCTTAACCACAAGGCCCATTTTTTTTTGTAGAGATTTCTATTAAGATGAGATGCTGTAGACAACTTTGCAGTGTAGTTTCTTGGTTTGTCTGGTCTGAGGAAGGGTTCAGCTTCTGGCCAGTGAGTTATTTTTAATCACAGATGGGGAGACAGAGTGGGGCTGGGGGCCGATCTCTTAGAGAGGCTGAGATATAGTGTGGCTTTTTTGATGTCAACCTTTTTTACCTCTGAATATGTTTTGACGACTTGCTTGACTATCTCCCAGACTTCCTACCTGTCTAGATGTCACATAAACAGGTTTCAGGGGTCCCTTTATCTGTGAAGTGTGTCGCTACAAGAGGCTATGCAGTGTTAAAACAGAAGCATCCAAGCACCTGGTACTTGACATCTCGCTTGATGCTGACAAGAGACAAGGCAATTAGACCTGAAGACATGTAAATTTATCTGCTTTCACCAAAGCAGGTGTCATAACCAGGTCTACCTACTTCAAGGGTGTTATTTTTTTGTAAAATTGTTACACGCACCTATCCCTATGTATTTTCTTGAGACTGAAACAGATTATGGGCAGACACATGAGCTGGAAAGTATGCAGGAGTATGAAGACATGGCTGAGCAGTCAGGTTAGCCATAACATAAGAGCCTATACACAGGAATTCATGCATGCAGTTTCTACATGTTACGATTTTGAGAATATTTTTAATGTGCATAACCTGTTTTCATTTGAGTAAAAAATGAAATCCATTAATTTATGTTTATATATGCTCTTATCTGTTTGAGTTTACTGCTACAACACCTGAATTTCCCCTCACGTGCATCTTAAATCTAATCCTGTACCACTGATCCACTGTCCCTCAATTAAGTGCCATAATCTGGTGGCTTCATTAGATATTTTTAAGAAAAGAGAGCACTCTCTTTGTGTGTAACAGTGTGAGTTATGGTTATACACAAACAAATAAGGAAAATAAAAGTGAGCATAAACCATCCGTTAGAGTTCTTACTTACTACAGCTAGTTGAAGGTTGGTTGTTGTTATCAGACTTTGCCATGTGATCATCACAGTGCATGTGCACCAGCAGCAGGTGTAATGCAACACCTTGATCCATCATCCTTGTCTCTCCTCTTCTCTCTCTTTCTCTCTCTCTCTCTCTCTCTCTCTCTCTCTGTGTTGCAAACACACACACACACACACATTCTGTACACAAAACACGTGTATACTCTGTCCTGTACCTGTCGTCCCCTTCAGTGGTGATCCAGATGGTGTTGTTCATCAGCCATTCTGCTGCAGATGTTAGAAGCTATAACGCTAAACCTTTAACTGGGCTTAGTAACATAACACTTCTAGCTTCAGTTCTGCTCACTGTGTGTGTGTGTGTGTGTGTGTGTGTGTGTGTGTGTGTGTGTGTGTGTGTGTGTGTGTGTGTGTGTGTGTGTGGTGTAGGCTCATGTTTAATCTGTCATTTGGACTTAGTTTTGTACTTGAGAAAGACTGATGATAAATCCTAACTCTTCTTATTCCCTCCTTCTCCTTTACTCTCCATCCCTACTCGTCATTTTTATCCTCTGTGAATTCCCCTACCTTCTCTTTCTGATTGACTGTGATCTTCCATTCCCCGTCTGGCTACTTTCTCTTCCTTACATCCACTATTTGTTTCTGTTTTTGTTATTTCCTTATTTTGGTTATCTTTTCCTCACCTACTTTCCCCTCTGCTTTTGTCTTCTTTATCCACCCTCCTGTCTTCCTCTGTCTTTCTTTTCGCTCCATCTCTCCCTTCCTCCCTTCCCAGTGGCTCTAGGGCGTAACCAGCCCCTGAAGAGAGAGCGGCCTAAATGGAAAAGTGACTACCCGATGACTGAGGGCCAGCTGCGCAGCAAGAGAGATGAGTTCTGGGATACGGCGCCAGCGTTCGAGGGCCGGAAGGAGATCTGGGATGCGCTGCGGGCTGCGGCCAGCGCCTTTGAGAGCAATGACCACCTGCTGGCTCAGGCCATCCTTGACGGAGCCAGCATCACACTGCCGCACGGTAACACACATTTCCACAGTGGTATACGCAGCAGATAGTGTTTGTTTGTAATCTCCATGAAATTTCAGTTGGGTGGAGGGGTTGGGTTTGTGGAGGACATTACAGTTGATGATTACCAAACTCAGGAATTTCAACTCCCTCTTTCCAAGATCCCTAGAGAAACTAAACTCAGGAAATCAGCTGTAGAGAATTTGTTTTTTTTGTTTTTTTTTACAGGATTGTAGATTTTGTTTTTTTGGGTTCGTTTTCATGAGAATCGGTTCCTTTTTTATTTAAAAAAAAAAAAAAACAGGCAATTAAATCTTTGGAAAAACATTTTTGATATATAATAGCGTATGATGCATAACTGGCAGTTTCTTGCCAAAGTTTTTCAGAGACTTTGGTGCACAGTCTCAGAATAGCCTTCATGCCTCTCCAGCTCAAAAAGTAGAAGCAAACCCCATGATGAAGCAGCAAGTTCAAGTACGTTTATGAATGGTTCATTTTGCTTATCTGGATGAAAGAGAGAGCTGTCAATCATCTATTGTCAAAAAAGAAACATCAGTTTGAAACTAACGCATCTATGGACCTACAAGACCACAATAAGATAACATTTTTGCCAGGTCATGACAGATGTTCCTGCCACCAGACAGCAGCCTGTACATTGATAAAGAAAGCTAAAGGTTGTAGTACAGCTTCTCCAGGAAGTGTCTTATACTTACTCTGTAGTTTCATCTAATGTTGAGCTTCATAAACAGGTAAACTGTGACACACATTACTGTTCATTTGTGTTTGAGTGAGCGGCTTCTATTTGCTATCTTACACAATAATTGACTTTTTTAGTGAATATGGATCTAATTACAAGCGTCTACAGAATTCAGCCTGCAGTTAAAAGGAGTTAAAGATCCTCTAAGTGTATCTCAGTGACCGCATATTAGAGCTTAGGCCATCACAAGGAACATCCTGAGAGAAGGAACCGGTAAATAATAAATGCAAAGGGGCGTGTCCTTGGTCTTCTGAAAGTAGGATTTAAAGAAGTAATCATTCACGTAAGTATAACAAAGATAGGGCATCTTTTAAAAAAAAAAACACACGAGAAAATTCACATCGAACAAATCAATACAATTGACATGGCTCAGATTCAGGAGGCCAAACAACTCCGCTCTGTAATTATAAGCTGCTTGTGGATGTGCGTCATTCTCTTTATTCCTTATTCATTTCACCTCAGAGTCATATTACCTCAACTGAGGAAAGGATGGGTTACCTTTTTTGTGCTGAAATGTTTTGTGAGTTTTGGAAGGTGTTGTGTTTTGTCCAGATGGTGGCATTTTCGGTTTCCACTGTCTCTCCAGACTTTCATGTAAGAGTCCAGAAGTGTATTTTTTTTTTTTCTTTTAGTGAAAGTAAACGTCATTAGCTATTTTAACACTAAGTCTCATTATAAATAAGAAACAAGCTGAAATGACTGGCTTGCTCTGATATAAAACATGTTCATGTCCATAAATAACACGGTGGTAAGCAGCACCTTTACTGGAATTATGATTCATTTCATGTTTATTAGAAGTAAATTATTTCTGAGGGTCTGGCTGGTAACCTTCGTTTTATCACAGGTGAACTCCCCTGCAGGGAACTGGGGGGTTGGGGGGTATTCAGTTAGCGGGCCACACTAAATCTCAATGTCTCAAAGATATAAAATTGCTTCACCTGAATCAGATTTGGGAGGAACAGTTACCAACAGATCCGTTTTTTTTTATTGCATGTAAACGTTGTCTGTGTCTTGCCGTGCTCCATTCCTCTCAGTAGTTTGGCCAGGTCAGATCAGAGCCCGCTGGGCTGCAGCTGTAGATTCCCCAGACCTGATGTCACCGTTGCTCTCATCCGGCACTCCAAGTACAAAGAGCAGTCAAATCGCTTTTCACCACTCGCAACCTAATGCTTCGCCCTTTTGCCTTTTAAGACTTTAAGAGTGACGGTAATGGTTGGTGTCAGATCTTAGTTTTGGTTTTCTGTCGCCCCCTTTTTTGTTTTCAACATTCCACCTGATTACTCTTCATGAACAATACATACACGCTTTCGCTCCACCACTTAGCGGATGAAAAAGATGTAAGCAGCTCGGTGTAACTGGTGATCAGTTTCCAGCTGTGCAAAAGGTGATTGTATTTTCATCATTTCATTACAATTCATCCTGAAGGGGACACTGATGGCAACGGGATGGAAACTCGTGGATCACCAAAGTCCGTAGACTTTGACTGTATAAAAATAGAAATTAATGGCAATCCAACCAGTAGTTACTCCATTACTATAAAAAAACATATTTTATAGTGGAGACGTCGCTGTCGCCATTCAGGAAATAGAACTGAGTATTTAAGGTTTTTTAAAAATCTCACTTTGTTCATAATGGAGATTTTTCACTCTCTTCATCAGATGCATCAATTGATGGGCTCATTTTTTCACTGTATATAATTTGATTGGAGACTAACTTGATCCGTGGTCATCAAATGTGTCTCTGTGAAGCCGATTCACGTCTTTGTACGCATGATATCTTTGTATTAACAACAGACTACTTCTATGGTGGTCATGCAGAACAGCACTGAAGCAAGAAAGCATTGCTCACGTAAACAAATGTGTTTCTCGCTTCGGTAAAAATCTGACCTCTTTAATTTGGTGCAGGTTTGATCCCTCCTCACAGGGATGTTTTTCAATCTGAACTCTTCTCTTGATTTATAATGAAAGTCCACTACCAAAAGCATTAGCACCGCCTGGAATCCATTAGCATTCTGCAGCTGAAACATAAACACCAAGGTGAAAGCCAAATGGAGAAGAGGAAAAAAAACAAAAAAGCAAGTGAGAATTACAGACAAAGAGATTTATATCCAAATCATGTTTATACATTGTCAGTGAACCGTGTTTACATTTATCTTGTATTTATAACAGCCTTTTGAGACGTTAGCTATGACAGCTTCCACATTTTCAACTCTCTGTCTCTGCTGGTATCTCTCTGTTACATGAAAGGGATTTAATGCATTTGTAATTCTGCAGTTGGGTGTGCTGACATATCGACACACGTCAGCCGTATCAGAGGCTGTTGAATCTCAGTCATCAGCTTTACTTGAACATGTTGATATTTCAGTTATGTTCCTGGCAGCAGCAGAGAGCTTTAATACTTTAAAAACATGCTTCCCAGTGGTGTCACTGTGTTGGTATGCCAGTAAATTATTTGGTTGCATAAGCTGAAAGAGTTTTCCTAGATATTGTTAAAAGCTTTCTCACGATCCGCAGTAAAGTATGTTGTTATGGGGCTTGAAGTAATTAATGTAGTTCAGTTCACACCAAGTGGACTGTGGTGAGGGCTGTTGTCATCGGCGTTACTACACAGTTCAGCTTTAGACACAGAGTAAGTGAAGTGCTTGCTCTCTGCCTCTCGCGCTCGCTCTGGTAGACCATATCCTGTGGCGCAGCGCGGCCTTAGCGTTCTCACCTTGACCACAGCAGCCGTCATCAAGAGCAACATCATGTGGGCCTCTGCTGACTCATCTCAGCCTCGCCTCGTACCACAAACCCACCTTCTCTCTCAAGTGGCTTGTTTCTCAGTTTAAGTCATGAAACAGCAAAAAAGCACCGGAGAAGTGGACTTTTTTTGATCCTGGTCTTTAATTATTTGGCTCTAGTTTTAAATGTATAAAGGGCAACATCATTACTGTCTTCCCAAAACTGTTAAGGGACAAACAGGCTGTTTTTTGGAATACTCTTAAAGGTAAAAAAGTAAGGCAGGTAATCCTTGAAATAAAGACATCTTATACCACAGTACAATTACTTTTTGTGTTCAGTTATGAAAAGCCGAGACGAATTATAATACGAGTGGACCTGTCTGAAATCCCCCTGACGACCCCTGGGGTCCCCCCCCCTGCGAATACCACAGTATCAAGTTTCTGTTTTCAGAATAATTTGACCTCTTCACTGCAGCTCTCTCCACTAACTCTTTACTCTCACTGTCTGAATCACAGTGGATCAGCACAGTTTTTTAATGTAGTACTCCAGCAGGCGCAGGACACTCCCTTCTCTCCTGCTTTCACTCAATGGTCTTCCCTCTCAGGTCTTGTTATCTGTTGAGTCCTACTCTCATTTCTCCATTTCATCTTCATTCTGTGAAATGTGAACTGGTTCTTGGCTTTGTTAGATGGAAAAATGATGTGAGTTTTTAACCTTCCGTTTATGAATGGACACATTTATTTCAATACAACATAAAAGTGCCAAAAAGTTACCCGGCTCAGATTTAAAAAAAAAAAAAAAAAAAAAAAAGTTCTACCCCAAAACTAACCCAGAAACTGACTCACCCAGAACAGTCATTTGAAGGGTGAGGTAGAGGGATGATAAAATGTTCCCTTTTGTTTATTGCTTTTATTGGAACTTCCCAGTTAAAAGCTAAAAACTAAAACTAATCTAGCGTATTCACCATAAAGATGTGTACACATTGTTTTGTTTATATTGATATGTGGGTTAATGTTAGCCGTAACCTGCTTCAGATGATGGTTAATAACTGAGTATACACTGTATACCTGCGTAAAAAAAGTGTGTTCATACAGCCATGATAAGTACAGTAGATCATTACAGCCGGTTGAATCCTGTAAACTGACAATGTTTAGCTTTTTTGCTGTGAAATAAATGATTTAGTTAACTGGGTTAAAATAGACTTGTTTCTCTGAGACTAGTGACCTGTGGCCCACCACACTCTCAGTGTGAGAAAGGCTCAGAGCCTCCTCTCTTCTGATTGGCTCTCTGAACTGTTGTTACTGGAGCTCCAGGAAGAAGCCTGAGAGAGGACATGTAAAATGACACCGAGATGGTTTTTGGTGTTTAAAACCACAAATCTATCTTCTTATGGATCAACATTTTAAATGAAAGACTGGAGAAGTGTGAAATATGGGACCTTTTTTAAATGAGGGGGATAAAAAGCGTTAACACTGGTTTCCTTTCTTCCAGGAGCTCTGACTGAATGTTACGATGAACTGGGGAATCGATACCAGCTGCCGGTCTACTGCCTCTCTCCTCCCGTCAACATGATTGAAGAGCGCTCTGATGAGCCTGACGGTTCAGATCCGGACTCTGGGGCTGCAGACCCGTCAACGGGCAGCGCCAGTGACCCCGACTCAGGAGGGGAGTGCCAGCTCCGGCTGCGGCTCTCCACGGGTCGCGACCTCCGGCTGGCGGTCCGCTCCACGGACACGGTGGGCATGATGAAGCGTCGTCTACAAAGTCAGGAGGGCGTGCCTGCCACAACCCAGCGCTGGTTTTTCTCAGGTCGGCCACTGACAGACAGACTGCGCTTGGACCAACTCAACATCTCCAGGGACTATGTAGTGCAGGTCATCCTCAGCCAGCCGCCACCGCCAGAGCCAGTAACTACAGCAGGACATATACCAGAGGCGTCTGGGTCAGTGGCAGTGGAAGGAGTGGCTGCATTGCCCCAGGAGCCCACACCAGTGGAGAACTAACTACCCCAACCTGACAGCCTGGAGGTGGGCTGGCAGTATAAAAGGAGGAGGATAACGAGGGAGAAAAAAAGAATAGAAGTTGACTTTTCTCTTTTGGTTTGCACTCTTCTTCTCTTCTCTTCTCTTCTCTACTTTCTTCTTCTCTTCTCTTCTTTCTTCTTCTCTTCTCTTATCTTCTCAGTCTGTTGTTTTTGCTGAGAAGGGCTCTGTTTGGGCAGACGTTGGCTGTCTGCTGGAGCAAAAGGACTCTTGAATTGAGAAAAGACTCCTTTTGGTTTTACACGTTAAAATTTTGACCTTTTTGAAGTCTTTTTAACTGTTCCTATGGAAACCAAACAACAAAAAGAGAACTTTGTCAGATGGCTCAAAGGGTTTTCTTAGCAACACTGATGTTCCAATGTTTCTGTGTTTCACTTTCCATTCAAGTTCTGCTCTCTGGCAAAGCTGGGTCAACAGAATTCTGTTTATGAGGCTACAGGGTTATACATATACATTTTCAGTAAGGACATTTTTAATTCAGATAGTTTAACAATCATGACAGTTATTCAGGCAGTTACTCTTAATAATGTGTGAATCAAATCATCAATCATCACTTCTTCACCTGTGGATTAAGTCAGTATGCTAACAGCTGTAAAAAGGTATTCTATTTGGTATGTCTAGTTAGCAAACAGAGGTGCCCTCCCTCTTGACAAGAGGTTGCAGACAGGGTGCGTGACTGGATTAGATATTTTATTTCACTCTGCTTCACAGAACAATCAGAGTAATCATGTAATAAACGTTAAGTAGTCGGCCTGTGTGTGTTTGTGTGTGTGTGAGTTGGTGTGAATAAATGTGCGCGCGTGTGCGTGGATGTTCATATATGATCGAGACACAACCACACTTCATGTGGCAAAAGGATGGACGTCAGAAACACAGTTACATATTTTGATTAAAAATAGAATGTTTTTAATTAAAATTGATCATTGTTTCTATTCCTTGATCCTTGTCTACTTGTTTGTTTTGAACATTTTCATGTCTTCTTTTTACTAAAAAAACCATAATCAGATCGATTCAATTTTATTTATATATCACGAAATCATAATACATTACTGTAACGTGTAAAGTAATGCTTCACTGCCCAACACTGGACACGAGTGGTTTCAATCTTCTCTTTTCACTCTTTTTACTTGAAAGAAAGTGAATAAATATCAAATTATTCCCTTAAAATCCCAGCTATGATATATTGGCCAATACTGATACAACAACAATAAGCTAATATTTGTCATTTATAACATCACAGCTGATTTAGCGGTTGAGCTCCTTCTCTAACAGGAAATATACTGTATAAAAGAACAGCTTCCCTTTTCCTTTTGATTTCCTCCTTTCCTTATTACAACTTCCTTCTTTTAAAGCTGCTCATCCCAGCCACACGGAACAGGGAAAATTTCTTGAAAAAAACACTATGATGTAAAGAGGCCTTCTCGAGAGAAGAAGCCATTGTGAGAGTTGCGTTTGAAAAGAAGTGCGGTGTCATTCAGCCAGTGATGGAATGAGGAACTTGTCCGCCCGCGAACGAGCTATCTATCCATCCACGCAGACGTGTGTAAACTAAGCTCTTGAGTTTGAATGTAGAGGAAGAAGGCGAGTTAATGACCCACATTGATGGTAAAAAAAAAATGTCACCAGTAATGTTGTGTGTCAGGCAGAAGGGAAGTGGATACGGTATATGGTCAGTGAGGTATTAATCTGAAACAGGTTAGTGGCTTGTTTTTTGGAAATACCTCTGAATATGACACCTGCTTGCAGTTACAATCTCAACATTTCATTTTCACTGCTCGGACACGCACAGCAAATGTCAAAAAATAGGAAAATATCTTGTATTACAGCATTGTGTGAATTTCAAATGTGTGGTAGGGTTTTCTTTTTTGTCAAGTTTCCAGTTTGGGACAAGTGTATGGTAATAAAGTGAGTGGAAATATGATTCAATACAAAGGTGAGTATGTTGAGTTGAGTAGTACACCAGCCTTGAGCAATACTCATCTATTACCTTTTTCCACCTGTACATACATAGCAATGTTGAATGAAATGAAAACTCTATAACTATAATTACATTTGAGGTGTACTTACAGGAAATGGCCTAATGTCATGACAGGCAGACCTACAGTGGTGTAGTTAAATGTTAACGTTATATATATAAGAGCAGAGTGAATGATGGAAACTCCTCCATAAATCATATTACTCGACAGGTAACTTCCCAAAATTGTTATTTACACGATTTTACTGTATGCTCAAAGATGTTCACAAAACGAATTCAAAGAGCCTTCAATGTGATTCTTTCCCTTTCATTTCATACTGACAACTTTATTCTCTTTTCCACTTCCATAGAGGTGTCAACATTGACACTTTTACTTTCTTGTACTTTTTCCTGATAACTGTCATGACCATTTTCTAGGGTACCTGTTGAGTTTCCAGAAATGCACCATCACACACTGTCATATGCAAACACATATCCAGTTCCCTTTCCCAGAGGTTTCTGTCTCTTTTGTTATCCTGACTTCCCACACATTGTGGCTGCACAATCACACACACGCTATGTCACAATGGAATATAGTCAAATGTGAATAACACTTTTGTCCTCAACTTTTGTCATCTTGCTCATGACTGAGTAAATCAAGACCAATAAAAGATGACTGAGAATCAGGTGAAAAACCACATCAATCTGTTCCTCACATTTATTAATGATTCATTTTATATTGTCCTCGTGTCTTTTGTCATCAGCCCTTGAATTCTCAGGTGGTAACACACACACACACACACACACACACACACGGGAGTTCCACTTCATGTTGGGATTTTTTTAACTGCCGTGCATAAATACAGCCGCAGCATGCTGAGTACAAGCAGACAAGCCGAACACATCTCACTTCTCTGGCGTGACGATCAGATCAGCTTTCATCAGCAGTGAGAATTTTGGATCAAATCCACTTGTCAAGGTAAGATCTACCATGCTCACACTCATTTTCTGTTATTCATCCGGTTTTTTTCTTTGCTCTTTTTTTTCTCTACAACAATTTATTTGGTGTGTATTTATATCAAAAGTAACACCTGTTTCTGACATTAGCTTCAAACTTTTATAAAGTTAGGCTTTCTTGAAAGAAAGTGACATATTGTTGATATAAAAAAATATTTATAACTTCAACACAACTGAATTAGAAGATGATTTTCTCATTCAGTTGGAGCACATTAAAGCATCTTTGGAATCACTTTTACTCAAGTACTTAAACCCCAGTCTGGGGATTGGGAGCCACTGAAGGGGACCTGAGGGGTCATGAGACTAAAGCAGATAAATCTTTTTGCCACACAAAGTTCAGTTTTTTTTTTTTTTTACAAATTACTGGCAAATTTTTGTTCAGCATCCTAAAAATATATTCCAATAAAAGAAAAAACAACAATCCATGGTTGAACTGGTCGCAAACATTTAGACATATACAAATGAAACAGGGGGTCACGAATAGACTTTAGTCTACTTTATTTTAAGGGGTGATAAGCCAAAAATGATATTGTTGGGAGACTGTATTCTTTCACTCTACGACATTTCAGGGAAAATATTATATGACTTTAGTTACTAGTTAATTTTCAAATTAAGACTTCACTTGTATCTTTTTAGACAACATGTACCCTTGTTATGGTTGGATAACAAATTAACCGGCTGGTGAAAATCCTTATTTGTTATCATATTTATGCTCATTGGAGAACTTCATCCGTATAGGATAATAAATTCAGCAGAACAGTCAAGGTTTAACTGAATATACCTTCCTCTTTTTATGTAGGTGCCCCAAATTAAGACATGGTTATAAATTAATTATAAGTTATGTCTTAGTCCCTGTACTATACTAACTTGTAGTCCTTCTTCCAGATGAGTTCATTGCTCCTCATGGTCCTGTATGCTGCACTGTGCAGTGCCAACACGGACAGCCACCAAGAAAACATAGAGACTCTAATGGATAATGGTTGGTAACTCCTCCTTTCTCTACTGACTATTCAGCTTCATTGCCATTTTTCTCCTCACCTCACATGAAGTAAATGTTGATTCAAGCCTGACTGTGTGTATATCTGTGTTTTGTTTTTTTTGCCTATGATTCAACTAGTTCTGGTCCTGAGGGTGCCTTATGGTCAGGGCAGCATGGTGTATGTTCCTCTGACCTGTGGAGAAGCTTATCAAAATCAGCCTGTGACTTGGAAGAAAAATGGTAATTCAACTGATACTATTATTATAGATACTAGATCTACTACAACTGGTGCTTATAACAGTACCTGTGCCAGTATGCTAAGTATGATATGATACCATACAATACCATACTATATGATTAATCTTTAAAAAACAAATGTATTTTTATTCAAAAGTAACATTTGTGACACTTTGAATCACTGACTTTGCTGCTTCATTGACTCATGTCCTTGTCTCAGGAATGGAGCTTAACCCACCTCTGCAGGGGAACCAGATCAAGGTTCTGGTGGAAGAGATGAACGGAGGAAACTACACTTGTCACCTCAGCCCCAACGGAGAGTACCTCAACCATACTGTGATCCTGGTCCAACTGGACCCAGATAACAGGACAGTCATACTGGAGGAAAAATCCCCCGAAGAAGGTAAGATAAGGTAGATGCAGAGAGCGAGGCAGGAGGGAAAATTACACAGAGGGTACATTCATACTGAGAGAGATAAAGATTTGTTGTGTTACTCAACTTAGCAAAAGGTATTTCACTGGAACAGACATGGGATAGATGTCGCTGAATGCCTGAGACAAGAAAGATGGTGTGAGAGGGAGATAAGATGGGCAGAAATAGGCAGAGGTGGAGGTCTGTGGCCCAAAAGGAGGCAACACTCAAAAGATAACAGACAGTGGGGCACACGTAAAGAGATAGGGAGGACCAGAGAACCGAATAGAAGAAAATAATTATGATACAGCAGCATGAATCCAAGAACAAGGAAGGAAAAAAAGAACATTAAAATGGAGAGACAGCAAAGAAAGTAAGACGGCACAGTATGGTGTGGTGATACTTGAATATAATTGCTGTAGCATAAACACACTGGGCAGGCTTCACATCCATCATCATATTGTTGGTGCTATAGTGATTCTCAAAAAGACTCCAACCCTGTTGCTTCTAGTCTCCAAAAGGATTTTCTTATAGGTCAAAGCTTTTTCTTTTCTGCTTTATTGACAAAACTATTCAAGTTTTTTTTTGAGGCCTTTTGCCACCTTTTACAAAATGCAACAACCTGTGAAAGCTCCGAAAGCGTTAGCAGTCATTGTTCTGAAAAAACATCATCCCCTCTCTCCGGTTTTGTGCCTTAAGTCAATGTTTTTTGTGGCTAATTTGAAGGAACAAAAATCTATATACAGTGAAGAGGCTAGTATGAAACCGGCAATCTTCTCCTCAGCTGTCAGGCTGTGTTCGCAGCAATTATATTAATGTCCTAAAATTGGTCTCGCAATGATTTATTGATGTTTAAATAATGGGATCTTCAAAAGAAAGTGCTCTGAAACAGAGAAAAGAGAGACATGAATTGTTAACAGGAAAATTAAACACAAAGAGAGGGAGGGACTCTAGAGCTCTAACAGAGTTTCTGTTCCCCCAGGTTACATCCACTGTTCCGCATCAAACTATAAAGGTGCCTTCGACTGCACCTGGACAAGAACACAATCCAGATCCAACGCTGCTGTGCTCCTGGTGAAGGCAGAACGGTGAGGACAAAAACAAAACAAAAAAACACTCAACTCATCCTCCTCATTTTAATCAGGAGTATAGATCAGCATGCATCATCTACAACCAGCCAGGGTATCTGGTATCTCATTCACAAAGGAGCCCCCCGATGCTGAAATATATATGGAACATTTCATTTATAAAGCGAAGATTACAATGTTCTCCTGCTGTAGATAGTATTGCACCAACCACTCCGTCTTTGTCTGCAGTCATCTGGAAAAGATACCATGTGAGCTGAACGCTGATGGATCAGGGGTTCACTGTGATTACGCCACCTGCCCATACAGAGAGGAACAACAACGCATCTCCCTCACCGTTTACATACACAGCTACTCTCGCCTCGAGTCCTACACAAAGGTTTTCTACCTGAGAGAGATTGGTAGGTGTTTGTACAGTACTTCAATGTCTGTGTCACAAAGAGGTTTCGGCAACATGTGTCATGATTTGTTTATAGGTAGCTGTTGGAATGTAATAATACTTATGTGATTATGTGACAATATTTTCATTCATCCACCTTTAATCCTTTCTGTCTTGTCCTCCCCCCATTTCCTTTTCCCTCCATTTTTCACCCTCATTCCTCTCCCTCCTCACCCTGTTTTAGTGAGGCCAGAAAAACTCTCTCACCTGCGCATCAGTGAGGGGAAAGTGTTCAGCTGGAGCTACCCTGACACGTGGGAGACCCCCGGTACCTTCTTTGGCCTGCAGTTCCAGGTCAAGTTGGTCAACCACGGACATTCCTGTAACAGCGATGTGCACATAATGGTAATCAATACATGCATGATTTATACCAGACTCGAGTTACTCTTCGCTGCAGTAAAAATTCAGTTGCTGACTTCCACTTTAACCACAATGCTTTTTCTCTCCTCTGCAGCATAGCATCACTGACGACACCAAGTATGAGGTTACAGTCAAAGCCAAGAAGTATGTTTTCTGTGTGCGAGCTCAGGACAAGTACACCAGCGGGCCATGGAGCCACTGGAGCCAATGCACGTAAGTATATTACTTTGATCATGAAATGTTTTTAACCGGGTTTGTTACCATTTATATTTTATCCAAATCCTCACTGTTTCATTTCAACCTGTCCTGTCTCCAGAGTGAACAAACAGGACGTGCACTGCTAGCTGTTCCCCTGGACTGCAGCCATAAGAAAATAAGGATAGACAAAAACCTTTTTCTAAATCTCTTTTTTTTTTTTTTACTTTTCATACATTTTTTAGAGCAAACCACACAAACAGGTGCTGTGCTTTGTGATTGAATGTACAGTATTTATTGTTCATTTATTCTAGGTTCATCTAGGGACCTAAAGTATTTTGTTAAACCAATTATTTTTATATGATTCCTTTATGCTTTTTGTAACTCTTCAAAAACATATTTAACTTTTAATAATAAATTGATGAACATGATAATTTACTGCACTTTCCTGTCATTTTCTCACATTTATTTGAATAACGGTGGTAATTTATTGTAATGAAATATTCTGTGATTACTCATTTTGAATGAACACTACAGACAGTTTAGGTACAAAAAAAAAAGTTTATTGTCGTATTTACAGCCAGGATGTCTGGGATGTGATGGGGGAACACATAAAAAGGCAGATCTCAAGAAATGAAAAAGAGAATGTCCAAGAGAGCTGTAAACCAGACATCATCTGAAAAAAATCACACCCCTAATGTTCCCAGGGAAAGGGGAACTTGTTTCATTATCCTCCCCCAGACACTTCCCCTTCTTCATCCATGACTTCAAATAAGTGTTGACAATGAGTGCAGACACATTAATTCCAGAAGCTACAAAAAAACAAAACAAAAACAAACACTAAATGCATGTTTTGTGCTGTCAGTTTCTGTCCCATCATCATCCCTCATCCTCACTTTGTTCAGTTCAGTAAAAGCTCTAAACAAAACACACTAATAACATTTTCATGAAAAAACAAACAAAATAGAACCCATCCCTTACATGGATGAGTGTGTGCGTCCAGCAGTGCAGCAGAGCCAGGACACAAAAACATTTCTGGGCAAATACTCAAACAAACTTAACCATTGTAAACTTTGACCATCTATGTGCACATTATGTGCATGTACGACGTCCTTGGCTTGTGTCCACTGACCTCTCCATACAAGTAACAGCAAACGGCAGATGTTTTCCATCAAAACGTGCACGGCAGTCAATTGTTTTGATGAAATATTTGCTTGATCTCTCTTTATGACACATCAAATTGTGTAGGTTACAGGCATCAGTCTGATGCTCATGGACTTGGATTTTGATCATTGCTCTCATCACGTCCTGCCATTCCAGTGTTTCACTTTAATTCTTCACCACAATTTTTAAAAAATGGACTTACCAGACTTGTTGGAGTGAAAATCATATTTGATATTGCCTATATTGGGGGTATATGCAGTCTTCTTGTTGAATTTCCCATTCAATTCTTACTTGGCTTATTGGCTTTTCAATAGAGAATCTCAGTCGCTTCAGCATATACCATCCGTAACAGCTCAACTTCCTAGAAAGCCACAGCAACGTGTTCCTATTTGAAAAAGATCTCAAGTATTTTCACGTACCATTTAACTGTGGACTTCGAGATGTGTTTTAAACACCTGATTGAACCTATGAGTAGCTTTTTAACCCACATGGGTACACTCTACGGTTACCACGCAATCACTGCCATCGTTATTGTCGTAAATGCAAACAACATTTGGAGAAAAAAAAGCCCATCAAGTTCCGGGAGAGACAGATAGCATGCAAATATATCAGTTGGGAAGCCCATCTCAGTCCTGAGCTTTTGAGTGTTGGCAGCTGCAGGATTAGTGTAGGATTTGTAGTAAGGTTTGAAATGAAGGACTTGTAATATCCAAGTTTGTGTGTATGTGTGTGAGAACTGGTTTAAGAGATGGTGGCATCCAGCCCAAGTCCTTGTCGCGGATGTAGTCCCTCTTCAGTGGTGCTGCCTCTTGGATAGGTACCTACACACACACACACACACACAGAGAAACACACACACGTTCAGTACATATTTCAGACATATTCTTGTGAATTTATGTTGATTTACTTATTAATTTCTTATATATGGTTCTAACAGCTGCTGCAAACAGTTGTTCATATGACTGTTTAGCGTATGTGTGCCAACCTCTCCCAGTGTTTGTGGTTGAGACCAGTGAAGTCCTCAAGCTTGGCGATTTCTTTGAGGTATTGAGCTAGTTTATATAGCTCCCTGTCCTTCTCCCTGTTAAGATGGGCCTTCATGAAGGGGCGGATCTAATATACAAACACACAAAAAAATAAGTTCTGGCAAAATATGTTATGTAACAATGACAATGATGATGAGAGAGGATAGGGTCAAAATGGTAATGATGACGTTGGCCGCCTACCTTCAGTCCGTTCTGTGGGTTCATGAGGAAGTTTCGTCCGATGTCATCAAACATAATGGTGTTCTTCCTGTTGTAAAACTCTCCATACTTCCCCCATATCACACCCAAGGGTTTCACCTGGAACAGAGCCATCAATCATCAGACAAAAACTCCATGGTGAGAAATGTTATTCCTGTGTGTGTGCATGTGTGTCTGGCCCTTTCTCAAACTGATCCGTCACCACTAGCACTTCACCCTAATGTTCTCTCCAGAACATAAACAAATAGGTGAAGCATGCAACACACATGTCACTCTTCACCTTACGCAGGAGTCGGCCCTCAGCACCGACAGAGTTGCTTGGCAAACATGGTGCCACATACATCCTCATACTGTTATTACAAGTCACCCCATTTCCCCTGTTCCCTAGTTTTGTCCTCACTCACATCATGGAGAGATGAAAGGCTGTATCAAATCTAACACAGATAAAGGCTCAATTCCTAATCCAAAAGGTAAACAACTAAATCTAGAAATAAACACTTTCTTTCTGCTGTGAAACATTTGTTTATATCAGTAATGTGTGTAACCACAGCAGATGTGCGTGTACCAACCTCTACGACCCCTCTCTTAGGGGTGTGCACTGTGATCATGGCTGCACTGTCCAACATGAACGTAATCTTGTAGTTGGGGTTGTCTGTCACTCCAAGCTCCTACACACACACACACACACACACACACACACACACACACACACACCCGCACAGTAGTGTTATTCTGTGTTCCTCTCTAAACCCAAACACTGTAGGTTAAATGGGTTAACACTGCCACCTTTTGGCAAACAATTGTACAGTGCAGCGAGAGAACCAGTGAAACAACAAATAGAATACTTACTTTCATTTTGGCATCAATCCACTTCATACTTGTAGCAGCTAAAGTGAAAAAGTACATATGTAAGATGTACAAGCCACAGGCAGAAACTGCTGTGTATCAGTGGACAAGCGAATTAGAACAACTAATGGCCACAAGATATGTACTTAGCAGTTAGTTAAGATGCACTAGTGTAAACTGCCCAATAAACAAAAAATTATTCTAAAAAACGATGTAAATAAGAAGAGAAGAGAAGAGACATACACCAGATGACAATGTCATAGTCCTCGTAGGCTGATGTCAGAAACTCGTGAAGGTATGGTCTCATCAGCTCCTGACCCGTCTCTGCACACGACTTGTGATCTAAACACACACAGGACGCAGACATCAAATGCACAGTGTCCAATTCAAAGTAGCAACTCATCACCTGATGAACAGTGATGAATTTCTATTATGCCAGTCATCCTGTGATTTCAACAACCATTGTGGCGGGGATCTGCAAAATACAGATTATATGTCAATCTGTCAAAATTTTACATCAGTCGGTCGACCCGAAGAGATGAAGAGAAAAAACAGTGGAGATAAAGTATGCAGGCAAAATGTTACATTGTGTGCTGCTTAAGTAAAACAGTCGTGTCCCGGTCAGATTCTTAAACAGACAAATGTTGGTGCCACAGTAACTCACCAAACAGCGTGTAGTCCACATCCAGTACCAGAAGCCTTTTGCCTTCTCTTGGAGGATTCATCTCCTCCACCTTGTAGTCTTTCACTCTGCGGGCAATTTTAGCCAGGTTCTCCTCTCTAAAGGCATCGACATTGTTTTCTCAGACAGACAAAGATACATTCCCATACACCCTCTCACAAATTTCATCTTTCTTCTCTACATCCACAGACACAGAAAAAAAAAATCTAACCTGTTCTCCACTTCAATGACCTCCTCCTCGATGTCAAAATCATTGACCACGTCATCATTCTCTGGGGGAGGGGCTAAAACCTCTTCCTTCACAAAACAAAACACGTGTACCAGTCAAGGGAACATTCGAGTCAATCCCATGAATAAGCAATTGTTTAGACTTAAGATGTCAGAGACTAGACCATCCAAATGGCTATGTGTCATGTAAGCCCACATAAATGACATCAATGTAGTCAACAGCTAGCAGCATCATTGCCTCAACAACCACTTATTGAACATTTGACAAGCTAGTTAGTGGCACTCTTCAATAACATTATCAGTTAGTCTTTCAATAGCTATCATGTTTGGTAGAACTGCAAATTAGCCAGTCACTCAGGCACTTAGCCAGTCAATCGGATATTTTTGGAATCAGTTCATTTCTTTGTCATCCTGCCACCTACCAGGCTCTCCTCTCTGGTACCCATCATCATGATCTTGGTGTTAGGCTTCAGCTTCAGAGAGCCCAGTTTCACCTCATCCTCTGCAGGTTTACCTGGGGGGCAGGGATAAAAGAGAGTGAAAGAAGGGAGAGAGAACATAGAGGTTCATTTAGCTTGACCCCCAACATATTCTATAATTAAAATAGAAATAATTTATAGACTACAGACAGGTGGAGAAAATTGACATTCAAGCAGACTGAGAAATGGACATGTTTGTACATATAAAACATCAGCTGATTATGAATGTGGATTCACATAGCCAAAGCCTAGGGAAATGTAGGGATGGATTTATTTGTTCAGTGTTATATTTCTCTCACGAGAAATATTTCTTACATATACAAAAGATAAAAATAACGCAATGATACAAGGGAAATAGCGTCCTGATTTCTTGTCCACCTGGTTTGGATATCATATGGCATAATTTACACAAGCTCCTCGGGTGTGATCGATGACGCCCTCTCACCTTTGACCTTGAGTCCCAGTAGTTTCTGTCTTTCGGGCAGCACCCCAGTCAAGGTCTTAATGGACTGTTTCAGGTCCATCACAGTGTCCTCCTCAGACAGAGAACTGATGGAGTACTCCTGACCTCCCCACTTTATGATCACTGACACTGACATGGCTCACACGGGCTCTTCACACACATACACACACACTCGGCTGCAGCTGGAGTTGGGTATGCACACGCACAGACAAGTGCACACACTTTCAAGCAAATATTCCAAGCTACAGTAACAAACATGCACACGTACACCTTGCAAAGAGAGGGGGATAGGTAAAGTAACAGGAGAGGTGTCAGGAAACACAGAAAGTAGCTAATAATGAAACAGAGAGCAAAACATGACATCACCGTTGTTAAGCATGTGTTGTTTTGACTGCCTATTTCCAGACACAATGGCCAAATGCCACCTAATCAGTGCAGACACTTTGACAGTCCCTGATGTTGATATTTTTAGCATGAGATGGCTAACACTGACTAGCAGCAATGTAAACACGAGCGGTAACCAGTGCAACTAGCTAACATTAGCTTACAAAGCTATATGGTTTGCGTATCCTTACCTGGTCAAGCAAGCTAACGCGTAACGCTTGGTTAACACTGTCAAATTTCGTCGAAGAGTTGAATGAATGAATGAAGTTTGCCGTTTAGTTTCATTCATCGAGAGGCGCACGCTCTGTTCTTCCTGGCGTCCTGAATCTTGCCGGTAGTGACGTAGGAACAAAAGCTTCGTTACCATAGTGACCATACCTCAATAGATTAATTAACGTAAGATCGTTTGATGGCTGTTTCCAAATAATTCATCCTTAAATGTTATCTATAAAATAAAATAAAATAAAATAAAATAAAATGAAATGAAATAAAATAAAATAAAATAATAAAATAAAACAGAAGACCACGAAAAAAATCAACACAAGTTGCTTTAGATATTTTCTCTGATTAATCACAATATTTAACAATGGAGAAATGTTTTCACTTTCCAACCCATAGATCCTGCAACCTACAATAAGTTCATTTAGGGCAGATAATGTAATGTAGTGTAGTGTTACAAATGTTTGGAATGTTTGGGCTACAACTACAACAATTATTTTCATTATCACCTAATGCGGCAATTATTTTCTCGATTAATTAATTGATTGTAGTATGTTGCAATTTATTTCTTGTTTGTCTTTAATATGTATCCTTGGAAACTATCAGTAATACTTATTATCATGGTGAAATTGAGTAATTGTAATTGTTGCTTATTAAACACAATATTTATAAATTGATAGACCGTTGTTTTCTTCTTCACTACCTAATTAATCACTTCATGACCCATCAGATATATCCACTGGTTAGGAACCACTGGGCTAATACCAAACTCTAATTACAGTGGATAATAGCAACTTATGCACTGATACATCAGTGTTGACAATCTAAAAATATATTACATTATAATATATCAGCCAGTATATCAGTAGATAGATACTATAATATACTGTAATTATCTGTACAGGTCGGGTGATTGTACTCAAGTATCATTTTGAATGCAGGACTCTTGCTTGTAATACCACTTCTTGCACCTCTGTCAAAAGTTGATCAAAATTGCTTGACTTTCCACTGTTGGCATAATAAGTGAGGGGCCAAAAGATTTACAATTTTAATGGGACAGACTATATATTGCGCATGCTCACTACATCCTTCTTGGTACTTGGATAATGGCTGCTAGGTGAGATGAGCGGATGGGCCGCATCGTTTGAGTGTGAGGCGCTTCCATCGAAAGGACCGTTAACTCGGGCGGTGCCGAGTTAAGATGGTCGATATCCGACCCGAAAAGCATCCCGAAACCGTTGTACATATTTCGAACATCGTCCTTCAAGTGTAAGTTCTGTTTTTTTCTTGTAAATCTTGGTCGGGCGCCATAGTCTGCCTGTTAGCCTGCCTACAGTTGGACTTAGTTGCTAGCAGCGGCACAGTTTGTGCTAATCTTCAAAGCTGTCTTTAAGCTATCTGCTTTTAGCGTTATGTGAATGATTGTTGACGTGTCTAAAGTAACAGCGTTAGGACCGAGCTAACTCTTCGGGTATGGTTTATTTCCGGTTGTGTTGAAGTGAGCTCGGTTGTTGACAGTAGCTAAGTGACAGCGATGCTAGCTGACTATGTTAGCTTGAATTGTTGGCACTGTGCCTGCTGCCTGCTCGTTGCAGCTCTTCATCTCTCCACAACACGTACACTGTTACAGCTATATTTCCTACTCGCCCTGAGAAACCGAAACCGTTTATTTGCTTTGCCTGTCCTATATTACACTGTTACATATAGACCAGTCTGGTTAGCAAAGTGTTTGCGGCAAAGCTAAGATATCTTTTTCTTCAGTCGAGACGGAGGGGTTACTAGAGTTCATGGCGTACCACAATCGATGCAGTACTCACTCATCCGTAACGTTTGTAGTGCCGGTGTTTGAGTTAAGCTAGTAATGGTATAAATATACCCGTTTAGACTAAGTACTACTACACCATACCCTGTAGCTGTTGGATTAAGACAGATAAAAATACAGTGGTAGACGGCTGCGTTATATAAGCTTGGATTCTGCGAAGTGATCTCACTCTGGCCAGTGATAGTCGTGATGAATTCACAGTTATGTAAGTTATCAGGATCCTGTCCCGGGGTACAGGGATATTAATGGATGGGAACTCTGCTATTGGTAACTTTGAAGTTGCCCTGGGCGTTATAAGCATATCGGAAACTTGTAAGTGCCACATTACAAGGTTGAAGTTGAATGATCAAACCTTGTTTCTCAACCCATTTGTTTGGAAAATAGCGCCCTGAATGAGACTTCCCTTAAAATGTTCCTCAAAGTGGACTCACAAGTGAAATGGTCGTTTAGCACCTTAATTGCAGGGTTGTAAACAAAGAATTTCCGCAAAGACTACAGGAGCTGGGTTGTTTGGAGTCAGTTACATTGACATTAAAGAAAGGGCATTGTCTTGCTTCCTGAAATTTCACTTTTTGTTACTGTGACTTTACGCGAGCTCATTTGCTGCCGCCGCAGGAGAGCGTGGTTAACGGTGATTGATTTATTTGAATTCCTTAAAATCAATCCATTTTATTGATTAGTTATTTTGATACATGAGAAGACACTTTGGTGTCTACTGTGTAAGGATTTAGAATCCAGGATTCAGAAATGGAAAGGAAACGATACAGAACTGCAATCTTTACTATAAGAATAAATAAACAATATATAAAGTACTATGTTACAACAATATTGATGACGACTCCAACACAATAACTAGATTGTAAAAGTGGGAAGTTACATGTGTTTTATTATAATGGTAAATCTCAGATCTTATGGAATAATCGAATTTTATGGAACATGTTACTTACTCATGCAAAGTCACATAGATGTAAGTAGATAGGCAAACATGGATCAAAAATAAATATTTGCTCTTCTACATGCAGGTATAAACAGTGTTGTGGTTTGGTGACAGAGTATACTGTGAGGCTGAGATGACAGAAATCTTAGCTTTCAGAGATTTTGTCATACTATTTACTGAGGGATAAATCTCTTTAATATCTTTGACAGTGTTAGGCCATTGTAGCTGGGCAATACTGCAAATCAATGAGCTGGACAGCTTTTATGGAAATATTGGGTTTAAGATTTTTGCATTAATGTGATGAGGTGCCTCAGTCCAGACTTATTAAGATATTTAATTCACGGACATTGCGACAGTGTATTCTCCCAGTTGCCTTTGCAGTGCTCATGTTAAGTTCTGTGCAGCTGGTAAGTGTGTGAAAGCAAACAGATAAGCCTGGACTCATTTTCATTTAATCAAGTCTAGGTCGATTATTGGCTGATAGATTTGACTATGCAAATCATAGTAGTGGGTGAAACAATTTTTCATTTAACCACTTCTCGTCCCAGCAAACCTTCTTAGTGTACTGTACCATACATAGTCTCACTTTTGGAACTGGAACGGTATTCCTCTGGAGCAGTTACATCCTTTTCCAGACTTGCTGTTTTCCCAGGTTCGTGCTTCCTGCATTTCTGTCTGAGCAGCAGAGATGTACATGACACTCATAAGTGAGAGAAGAGACACAGGAAGGGAAACAAAATTAGTTATATCTGGCACTAGTGTTTAGTTTTGTTAACGATCAGCCTGATCCACCCTGCACAAACAGACAAAAACAGGTTGTGGCACGCATTCATTTCAACAGCATGCTCAAGTTTCAGCACCAACCTGTAGCAGGAAGTTCAAAATGACCAGTGTTCACTTTTTCTGATTTAGAAATCATGTTAAGTGTAATTGGTTTCAGTGGATTTACCCCAGTCATGTATAGCTTGGTACACATTACCCTCTGGGGTTTAACTGTCGCCAGTAACATCACTTCTATAAACATATTTATGCGTCACATTGTAAGTGTATCAGTAATTCTTGTTCTTCTATAGACCGTGTTTGTCAGGAATAATTTCATGGACATCTGTTCATTCTTTAAAAGGCCGTTCTCAGTGTTACAACAAGGCTAATATAAATGGTGAGATATCAGTTTTATAACTTCCAAGCCAGGTGAAACAGTCTGTATCGTTTGACTCTCTCATATAAATATAACATCCACAATGAGAAGTTATATTGTTATTTTTCAAAGACTCTGCAGGTAGATGTAGGTGTTTGTTTAGCTTCATCTTAAAATATGAAAGGGCTCAATAAACATTATGCAAATTGTTACAACGGTGGGAATTTAACACTACCCATCTGCCAAATACAGAAAATATCTTCTGTTAGCAGGAAGTGAAGCTGTACAAGAGGGGAAAAAAATATTTTGGTTCTTAGAATAGTTAACAATTCATGTCAAAAAATGTGCTTTTTCATGCAGTGAGAAATGCATGTTTTTAGATGCATTTCTCACTGCATGAAAAAGCACTTTTTCTGATGTGATATCTTGCTTCATATAAATCTATTTATTTTCTCTTTGTCTCGCCTGCTTCCTTCTACACTCCCTCTGTCTCTCTGCCTTTCTGTGACCCCCCCCCCCCGTAATAAAGAACTGCATCCCACCTTCCTTGCATTATATTAAATCTTTTTCTGTGCCCTCTTTTTCTCCGCAGTGCACCCACTGTAAACATCCCATCTTAGTGGCCAGTTCTGCCTGCCAGTCAGAGGTTAAGCTGAGGCCATGGCAGTGAAGGACCGCGTTGAGGCGGTGCTCAATGTGGGACTGCGTGTTCCCAGCATCATGCTGCTGGATGTCCTCTACCGCTGGGATGTCAGCTCCTTCTTCCAGAAGATCCAGCGTTCCAGCCTCTCCAACAATCCCCTGTTCCAGTACAAATACCTGGCTCTTTACCTGCACTACGTAGGTTAGTGTTGGTTTCTCGCACACACAAACACACACAAGTTGTTCCGATATAAATACAATCCCCCTTTATTAACACTTGGAGGATTAGCACAAAACAAACACACTATACAAATGCTTAGCTCTGACAAAATGCATAGCCTTTTACACATTTGATAACGTAACACGTGTATAAAGAGCTGTAGCCGTTAGTTTGTCAGTGTTATCTCTCAAGTTATCATGACCTGCAATGGTTGTTTTGTTTGGACTGTTTGACGGGGTTATCGGCTAAAGTGGCTTCTGTTCTGCTGGCTTTATCAGTAGGTCGAGTGCCAACTGTCATGGTTTTACCTTTCTTAATTAGATTTGCATGATTTCTTTTTTTCAATCAGCATTGTCAGCCCTCTGTACCTAACCTGGTCAGTTTCAAAATATTGCATGGTGGTAGGCTGTAAGCCATGAGGTTGTGCATTGTAGTTAAGTAGTAGTAGTAGTAGTAGTAAGAATTGCTAGTGCAGCGACAAGGACATGATCCTCACTTACTTCACATACCGACACTAACAGTTGTTTGCCGGAGCAGCCGTCCGAAGCAGAGGCACCGCTGTCTGGATTTGTACTCTGGGAATTTGAGAAGTGTCTGTGATAGTGGGAGCACTGTTTACTTAGATTTTAAGTGAAATTGTTTTCTAAAATAATGACTGGAATCAGTGGATCTGTCTCTCAGCTCTACAATGGAGCTAAAATACACAAGCCTTGTAATGGTGGAAATCCCTTTTTTTTCTTTTTTCTTTTTTGGACCACCACCACAATTTTTCCTTATGTCAACAATGCTGTCATCTATTAGGCTTGTGGTGATATTTGATAATATAGAATATCATGATATTTCCAACCATATGCAATATTTATTTATTTATTTATTTATTTATTGCAGTTTTGCACAATCTCCTGCCGAGTCTGACCATCATTTCACTGCTTTGCTTTCTGTACATTGTAATTGGCAGAAAATATAGTAATGTAATTATATAATAATATTTATATAATAATTTTGTATTTTAAATATCCTTCAGATTGCCACAAAGCCAATCATGGACACTTAAAACAAGCTCTGTGCAGCACAGGGAGCCAGTCAGGTGTATTTTCCAGTGACACTGAAGCACTGAAAGACTAACTTTGATGTGAGAGTGAAGTTGACAGAACAAAGTCTGACATGCAGAGTGTGAAATGGCTAAAAGAAAACCGACAAGCATAGTGTTGAGTTTTCTGTGTGTGTTTTTATACGTCTGTGTTTGTGCGTGTGCGCTGTCAGACTTGGCTGCAGTTGGTTAATGAGCCAATAGGCTTGGTATGTGCTGATGTGTGCTGTGGGTGGACAGACAGAAAGAAAGGGGAGAGAGAGGCAGTAAAACCAAAGTAACTGTTGCTATGCACTGAGGAGTTTTTTGGACATGGTTTTAGGTAGTAGACTGTTGTACGATAAGCCTATTGGCAGCAGTGACTGTTTGATTGACTGTCAAAAATAGCTCCCTGCAATTACATAAGAAACATCTGTCACACACATGCACATTCGGTATATCACTTTTGTGATTGAAAAGAGGATACAGTCTGCAAAACAAGAAGCATTAGAGATGCTTACAAAAGGCACATATCTTCACTTTTTATGTATATCGGTTGTGTGTGACTGTTTGCGTGTGTCTGCATGTGTGACTGCCTTGCAGGTTACATCCTGAGCTTGGTGCTCCTGACTCTGCCTCGCCAGCACCTGGTTAAACTCTACCTGTACGTCCTTACGGCCCTGCTGCTGTTTGCTGGTCACCAAGTCTCAAGGTAAACACACACAGACAAGGGCTGCATGGTATGTCAGACACCAGACAACATGTATTGTTGGCTGATAAGTAGAAAAATTAAATTGTTGCAAATTGCTTCGATAATGGGCTTCCACCCGATAATGACGTCCAGTAATGCAGACCATGCAATGGACCAAGGATGCCAAGTAAAATCTGGTTCTGAGAGGGGATTTTTGCCTCTCTGCCTTTCTTCTTTCTCTTCTCTCCTCTGCTGTGTCAGTGCTTGTTTGCATGAGGGCGGGGTTGAGCTCCCCACACTCTCAGAGCGGACAGCAGTGTAACTTCAGAGAAGAGAGGTCACAGTGGAGCAGGTTATCTGCAGTTCTTGAAAAGTTCTCAGGCCTTTTATTTTTTTAAAGGCCTCTTAAATGTTTTCTTTAGTCTGTCATAGACAATAATGTTTGGCTGTCTGGACATGTTACAGACCTGTAAACTGAAAGTGGGATTGTTGTGACAGTGGATTGTGTGGACAGGGGGGTGTTTAATCCTAAACAAACCCATAGCAAAAAATCATTACTGCTAGCTACAATAGTTGGGAAGAGTGACAGATTTAGCAGCAACTTAAAATGAACTGAATTCCTAATTTTTCATAGATTTAATCTATCCCTTTTCTGCTGCTTATCCAGAACCAGGTTACATGAATTTAATTAATTGTATTGTTAGGAATTAGTATTGTACTGCTGGGAGGTATTAAAATAAGTTTGTTTATGCTAATAAATAATGCTAGACCTTATTATCAGCAGAAACCCTGCAGAGAGATGGAGATGGACTTTAAATTATATTTTACTTGAGTCAACAACGACAGCACTCTTATTCCATATGTGCCACAAAATCGTTCGGAAAGCAATTAACAAAACACCTGGTGAACAAGCAGAACATGAACTTGCAGAAATGCAATGTGTTTGACTGCTCCCCCTGCAGTCAACTCTCTGCCCCTTCCTAATCCACAGCTGGTGCAGTCCTAACTGATAATTGCATAAGTGATCATTTGTTTCTGAAATACCATATCATCAACATAGAGACGTGATTAGATGCAGCTATCCCATGTTCTGTTACTCAGTTAAATGCCTTCAAATGACAGAGAATGTTTTTATGAAACCTGCTATCCACATTTCTGAATCAGTGACATTTGCAGTGTGGGTGGTTATACTCTGTCAGATACACAAATGCATTTATGTCATACTGTCAACTCTAATTACTTGTCATCATTAGATTTACAAGGACACCAGTGCTTTAGTCAGCAGTCACTGTACAGTATAATGTACTGTATCTTTTTCAGTGAGCTATTCAACGAGTTTACTTGCAACATATAGCTATAGTTGGTTTTAGTTCATGTTAAGGGCTAGACATTTTCGGGTTGAGCTGCACTCTAGATCAGTTGTTTGTAATACAAAAGATTTTATCTGTTAATTGAGCATTTTGACCCCTCTTTGTCAGGGACTACGTCCGCAGTGAACTTGAGTCTGGCTATGAAGGACCGGTCTACCTGGAACCTCTCTCCATGAACAGATTCACCACGGCACTCATAGGTATAACGTTACACATGAATGCATGAAGACACACTTATAAAATATACATGATGAGACATGAATGCATCATGCTCAAACCCAGACATAGTTTGGAAGACGCACTTCAGTAGTTCCTTTGTGAGCTACATGGGTTACTCTTCCTCTGTTTCAATATGATCTCTCTTCTTCTCTCCTTCCTGGTTGCACATGCATCTGGGAAGTTTAGAGAAGTATACTTAGAAATAGTTTGGCTATATTAAAAGTCCCTTTAAGGTCACATCACCAAACCACTTTTAGCATAAATCTTACTCGAGACCAATTGCTACTCCCAGTACTGTCCATTTTGAAATGGAAAATGATGCTGCTTCTGGATCTATAGGACCTGGTTTCATCTTGCTACAGAGTAGTGATGGAGTCTCCTATACTATAAATAGACCATACTGAGTGCTGATTTCGCTGCAGAGTGAAAGCCTGAGAAAGCGAAAATAACATGGTTACAGTGACAAAGATACTGCTGTAGAGAGAGGTAGAGATTAAAGATACTAAATACACAAGTGGCCTCATATTGTCACCACTTTGGAAAAAAAAATATTCTCATAGGAGGTCTTTTAATTAGACAAGTATTACAAATAATACATCAGCATGAATCGTGTGTATGTGCATCCTCTTTCAGGTCAGCTGGTGGTGTGTACGCTTTGTTCCTGTGTGATGCAGACCAAGAGGATTTGGCTTTTCTCTGCTCACCTTCTCCCTTTGGTGGCCAGACTGTGTCTGGTTCCACTGGAGACCATTGTCTTCATCAATAAGTTCTCCATGATCTTCACTGGCCTGGAGGTCATTTACTTCCTGGCTTCTAACTTACTGGTACCATATAACCTGGCTAAGACAGCCTACAGGGAGCTGGCTCAGGTAATAAACTATTAATGTGGTCTAATGTTGCAAGCTTTTTCAGTTTTTATTACAGGATTTCAGCTATAGTAGTCCTGAGGGATTTCCTTATATGTAATATTTATGGTGTTCTGTCTTTGTCCCAATTACCTCCATCTCTCCTCTTTTCTATCTCTGTATCTATTGCTTTCTGTCCCCAGGTGGTGGAGGTGTATGGGCTGCTAGCTTTGGGCATGTCTCTATGGAACCAACTGGTCCTTCCTGTTCTCTTCATGTGTTTCTGGCTGCTGCTTTTTGCTCTGCAGATCTACTCCTACTTCAGCACCAGAGACCAGCCTACCTCAAGGGAGAGGCTTCTTTTCCTCTTTCTTACCAGGTAAGGCCATAGCACTGGTTAAGCTGTGAGGAACATCATAGATTGTACCTCACAGACTCTTATACGAGTCAGACCAGTGCATCATAGGACTATGATTTTTCTGAATTTACCTTGAGCAAATAATCATGTATCTGCTTCATAGCCTAACGGCAAAATATAATAGTCTTACCATCCAGCAAAAGCTCCATGTAACACAGAGGAAATGATTTCCATGTTTTCTGCTCAACTAAGTTGCCTAGAAGCTTCACCTTCACCTTTCTCCTCCTCTCACATGCTCTCTCCTCCCTTCCTCTTCCCAGTATTGCAGAATGCTGTAGTACACCGTACTCCCTGCTGGGTCTGGTTTTTACTGTCTCCTTTATCGCTCTGGGTGTCCTCACACTCTGCAAGTTCTACCTGCAAGGCTACAGAGCCTTTATGAATGACAACACCATGCACAGGTCAGTCAGTGTGTATGTCTATATGTGCGTGTGTGTCAGGTGCTATGTGCTGATGGTGTCAGTTGGTATGTATTTCTGCTTTTAATAACTTCTGGGGTTTGTTTTTTGTCTGTCTGTGCAGGGGGATGACGGAAGGCATCACCCTGCTGATCCTCGCTGTCCAGACTGGCCTCATCGAGCTGCAGGTCATCCACCGAGCCTTCCTCCTCTCCATCATCCTCTTCATTGTTGTTGCTTCCATCCTGCAGTCCATGTTGGAGATAGCAGACCCCATAGTCCTGGCTCTGGGAGCATCCAGAGACAAGTATGATAAATTTATCATAGGCCTAGTTTTTATTTTATTTTACTTATATAATTTTTTCTTTGGCTTTTATATTTAAGAAGCTTAAAATGTATTTTGATTAATTAAAAAATAAATGTATGCTGTTAAAAATGGCAAAATCAAAAAGTGTTAAGTCAGTAAAATCTAAATTTTGAACTTTGTGTGAGGGAACTTGGAAACGAATCAGGTATAAAATAAACTGGTATCTACATATCAACTTGTTCATTCTCCTGTCACATAATATCTCAGACACAACTAACTTGATATGGACAAAACTTGAAGAAGTGGTTTGGCATTTGGACCAAATACTCTAATGTGTGTTTTAAGAGTAGCTCAAAGAGCATGTAAAAGTGTCCTGACTGAATGTGTGCAAGAGGATTGCTCACATCAGCACAGATAAAGCAGATCGTCTTCATTTTTACTCTCTCCCCTGTCTGTCCTTCAGGAGTTTGTGGAAGCACTTCCGAGCGGTGTCTCTGTGTCTGTTCCTGCTGATCTTTCCAGCCTACATGGCCTATATGATCTGTCAGTTCTTCCACATGGACTTTTGGCTTCTCATCATCATCTCTTCGTCCATCCTCACCTCACTGCAGGTAACACACAAGCACATAACAGCTCATGCACACATACAGAACATATACACACAATACCGTTGCACAGTACTGTTGGTTTTGATTGAACTATTTTAGAACATTAAAAAACAATGAATGTAATTACTAATTTTGCTGAAATCCAGCTTTTAAAACAGTTTTATCTGCTTTGCCAAAACGTGAAGCTTTTAACATTTTGTGATTAATTATTGAATTGTATCCAAACACTTTTCCTCTGTCACCCCCAGGTTCTCGGCACTCTTCTGATCTACGTTCTCTTCATGGTGGAGGAGTTTCGTAAGGCTCCAGTAGAGAACATGGATGAAGTTATCTACTGTGTCAATGGGACTTATCGATTGCTGGAATTCCTGGCAAGTGTCCACACATGCAAACACCATATACAGTATTAAGTGAGCATAAGCAAGAAGGCAGCATGTGACATAGACAATGTCATATGATATGGTCTCAATCTCTGCCTCACTGTCACTGATTTCCTCCTTTGCCAGGTCGCAGTGTGTGTGGTGTGCTATGGCGTGTCGGAGACGGTGTTCGGGGAGTGGAGTGTGATGGGAAGCACTATCATCCTGGTCCACTCGTACTATAATGTCTGGCTCAGAGCCCAGCTGGGCTGGCAGAGCTTCCTGCTCAGGAGAGATGCTGTAAACAAGATCAAAAGCCTCCCCACAGCCAGCAACACACAGCTGGAACAGTACAACGACATCTGTGCCATCTGCTACCAGGTATGAGCTGAAGAACTAATTGGGGGGGTTCGAGTTAAAGCTAGGCCAATGTAAAATTTTATTTGATGCATGTTATCATTGACAAGTGGTTTTGAAATAAATGAAACATGTGTTTTTGTACTAATTCCTTCCAGGACATGAACACAGCTGTGATAACTCCATGCAGTCATTTCTTCCACGCTGGCTGTCTGAAGAAATGGCTCTATGTCCAGGAGACCTGTCCTCTTTGCCACTCGCAACTCAAGAGCCAATCAACAGCTGCTAGCGTCCCCAACCAAGACGCCCCTGCAGCCAATCAGAGCCCTGCAGGGCAGGAAGAAGCTGCAGCCAAGAATAAGGAGAAAGATGGCGCTCTTCCAGATGATGGGAGGGAGGAGGAAACAGGAGAGCAGGAACGAGGAAAAGGACCTGACATGCCAGCTGGAGAAACTTCTTCCTCTTCATCTGGTGTGCCCACTGCTCCCCAGCACCTTGTCAAGACTCAAATAGCTTCTTCTTCTCCTTCTTCCCTACTCATGACTGATTCTTTACAGAACCAGTCGCCCACAGATCACCCCTCTTCGTCTTCCTCCTCTTCCTCTGACACGTTGGACACACCCCCCTCTCCATCTTTCTCTCACACCTCCATCCCTTGCATCTCTCACCACTCATCCTCACAGCAACAGGCCCAGGCAGAGATAACCCCTGCTGAACCTGAGTTTAATCCAGCCTCCCCAGCGGACAGCCAGGAGTCATCTTCTGTTCCATCATCACAGCCTGACCAGCCCACTTACCCCTCTGAGGAACAGTCTCCTCCTCTGCACAGCCTCTGAACCCCTTCGTAACACACAGAACATACATGCATGCACATATAAACACTCCATTTAAATACTCCATCTGCCTATATTCTAGCAGTTGGCCATCATGTCATAAATTCAACTCCAAACCCCTTCATATCCATTTTGAGAGAAAAAATCTAGAACAATCTCTAAGCAGATATTCATCACTCAGCGTTAAGAAAAATTACAGATGATTCCAATGTCACAATATGTTGCCATTTTAAGGCAATTCTCTTGGAACAGTTAATCTAAATGTGTCTGAGTTTGACTCATGCCAGCAATGATTTCATCACAGTGGGCATAACTTTTCTCATGATTTTTTTTTTTTTTTTTTTTTTTTTTTTTTTTTTGGGGCTGGGGGTTTAAACTCAATGCAAAAAGGTGAAAGCAGTAATCTCATCTCAAAAACAACTGGGAGGTCTATATCATGTCCACGAAATGTGAAATCCCGAATGAAACTGAACATTTATTTTTGCTCTTTCCTAGATTTTTACATTGCTATGACACACACATTGACGTTTCTAAAAAAAACAAAAAAAAAACATGCTTTGTCCTTCTCATTTCAATCCCAGACTTTTCATGTGATGGTTGCTCCCACATCCTGCCTTTTGTTTGTGCAGATTCACTCTCATTGCTCTACATGTCATAGTGTTTGGGTTTTTCGCTGTAGTCCTGTATGTGCCATGATCTCATGAGGAATGGGTCAGAGGTTTGGAGAGCCTTGATAGACTATCGATAAGTGATGGTTGCATTTTAAACAGTGACAAAGTCTTAACATTTCATAAAGTCTACAGATTTCTCCATCAGTTTTGATAAAGAGTTTTGGTTTTCACTGTTGGATGACAGGAGTTATTTGTATTAATGAATACTAAGCACTAACAGACTGAATGTTGTTTCTTGAGGCCATCACATGACCTGAAGCCTGGTGCTAAGCAGAGGATACATGGTGGGGTCTAGTCAAGTGTTGCAGTGTGAACAAATCAATGGGTTCACATGGAGTAAGTCTAATTCATTTCACGTGTCAATCTTTCTCTATTATACTGCTTCAATATTTGAATCGAACTTGTTTGGCTGGTCCCAGCAAAAACAGTTGTACTCCTCATCGCCAAACTTTTGTATTATTGTTGAAGAGATGTTATTTTTAAGGTAATTTTTACATTACTGCTCTATTGGATAGCATGCAGTGCAGATGGACTGAAAACAGGGGAGGGGAAAGACAGAGGAGGTAGATAAAATGTAACAGAGGCCACAGTTTGTATTTGAACCGGCAGCATTGTGAAAATGTGGAGTGTAACTTTGCCCACTGAGCCGGCGAGGAGCCCGAACTTATATTTGTCGTTTGCCTCACTTCATTCCTGGTACTCATCCGCGCTCTTTCTCCCCGCTGAACCAGTCCATCCCAAGTTTGCCTTGGGTCCTGCAATTGTTGAGGCTCTTTCACAGCAGGAGCCAATCACCTCGCTCCATCCAATCACACCTAAGCACCCTGCTGTGTTTTCTAAGACCATCATTATCCTGCTGCTCAGTCACTTCACTCCATGAAATGTTACTACCAGCAAATTGAGCCGTTTGATAGCTTTGCTTTTTGTTTATTTTTTTTTTCCACACATGCTAGCACGCATGCACACACACACACACACACACTCAGTCAGCACCTGTGTTTAGCAAATGGGACAGGCCGGTGAGAAGTGTGTGTGTGTGTGTGTGTGTTGAAAAGTCTGAGTTTTTAAATGAAAGACTAAAACTTCAGAATGCTAAGTCCTGATGCACGCTTATATGTAGAGCTTGCACGCTGCCACTGTTACCATAGCATTTGTTTGTTGTCCCCAATGTGTTCTAACCTTGCTACCAATGTATTTCTGCCATTTCTTTCTTTTCTTTGAGTTGCATTTGCACTAATGTCATTTATACTAGCAATGCTCCAAAGCTGTTCTGTGGCTGTCAGCAACCAAATACCCTCTGATGTGTTTGTGGTACAAGGAAACAGCCCAATCTGTTTGTGTGTAATGTATATAAATGTTGCTCTGTATGGCATCTATATTAAACCAGAGGAGTGTTGTTATATAAACAAGATCAGGGCTTGAGTTTTCCAAAGCTTCCCAGCGGTTCAGTGTTCTTTGTTTCTTTACTTGCCTGTGAACAGAGACAAAACCTCTGGCTAAGAAGCTTTTGAGAAATCAAGCCCTCTGATCTGTGAGACCAGCCAGTGTTGCTGCTTCTCCGGTCTGTATGACGCGTCCCCAAGCTGGTGTGATCACTCCAGTGCCCTCTACTGTTAGGAGTGGGATCAGCATGGCGCAGATGGACAGGAGATGCACTAGTTAACCCTCAACAGTATTACTTAATACCACTATTACTAAAGGTCTTATACTATGAATGACTTTATTCTTGACATTGGGAAGCATTGGCTGTGGGGCTGAGAATGAATACATGATCAATGTAGGATCAAACCTGGCCAATGCTGTTTAACTGTTTGTGTTTTTTTTTTTTTTTTTTTTTTTTGTTTGTTTTTTTTTTTTAAGAGATGAAATGTAGAGTTTGATGTATTTTGCACATGTTCCTCTGAAAGGTGAACATTAGGACTTTCTGTATTCTTGAACGACTTCATATTTTTATTATTAGCTCCATTCCTTAGACTTTGATTTAAACAAAGCACTTGAAATGGTTACAAAGATTTGAACTGCTTCATACACATTTGGGTTTCATGGTGGAGTGTTTGAATTGTATCGTGCAGAGAGGTTACCTGCAGGATAAAATGTCAAATGCTCCACATGCGGATGTCATTGGCAACTGTACGTGGATTTGCATTGCTGTAGTAAGTGATAAATAACTGGCAGAGAAGCCTGTCAGCTGTTGATTCCACATGTATTTGCTAAGTTTATACTCCATGTTGGAGACATTGCAGTTGTTGCAGTCTCTCTCCAGCCTCTGAACTGTGACACTTTTTTTTTTATTTTTTTTTTTTTTAAATACTGTCTGGGACAGTTTCACATCAAATGTTTTACGATAATCTAAACTCAGTATCTAATATTTGATTATATAACCTATCCATTTGATACCTAGAGAAATCTTATGGACACTCAGTATTTTATTTTGAATCTTTAAATGCATTATTTGCATTCCAACACATCTCTGAGATTTCAGCTGTGGGACTGACTACATGTAAAATGCATCAGTGCCTGTTTAGGCTATTTGTCTGTGAGCTTAAGTGCCAAACAAATGCATCAAGCCTTCACTGCTGCTCCTCACGCTGGGCAACATCAATTTTGCATTTTCCCCCTCCACCCTGTCTGGAGCTTTTTTTTTTTTTTTTTTTTTTTTTTTTTCTTATTGACTTGCAAGTTGCCAGTGTGTCCTCAGCATCCTAATATTTGTCATACTGAAATGTTACTACTACCAGACATGTAGTTTAATTTGAAATTTTTCTCCACTGAAATTGCTGGAGATGAATACATATGATCAGTGGGATTGCTAAAGTCCCTGAAATCCAGATGTTTCTGAGACTCAATTTACCACAGTGCTTTGCAAAATCATAACTATTATGTTGGACATGTAAGCAAATATGGTAATGGAATCTATAGCTGCCATGTAGTACTCTGACCACATGTTTATTTTCTGAAGCGTTTTAGAAAAGGAAACAGTTAGCACTGCTGTCCGGTACTGTTGCCTCTGGCTGACAGATGTGTTGAGATTTACCTCAAAAGAGCCTGATTGTGTTCTGGGCTGCTCATACTGAGACTCCCTACAGAATTTAGATTCTCTTTTTATTTTTATTTTGTCTGATTAGTTTTTCCACACAGATTTAGGACCTTGCTCTGTAAAACCTGACTCTGAATGCCAGTTGTATTCTGTTAACCTTCTCCACGGTTGGTTTTGGATTCTATGCCTGGCATTGCCTTGGTTATTTTACAAAAATTGAATGTCAGAAATAAAATGAACCATCCACTCTAGACCCTGCATTTATTTGATTTAAGATTCTTCTTTTTACAGTATATTAAATTGCAGTAGGCTCGTCAAGTGTGAAATCTATTACTATTATTGTTATTTAGAGTAGTAGTTGTAGTCCTAGTATTTAAATTTCAGCTTGTAAATTAGTATAATTACAATAACATGCCATATATGATATATATTGATGATACTGTTGATGATGGGTCAGGTGCATGAGTTCTCCTGTAGTTGCACCGGTCAGGCACATGATGGCGCTGTTGTTGTTTTTTAAGACAGAGTGGGAGCCGATCCAGGAGACGAACCACCGCTGGAGAGAGAGACACACACCGAGGACTATTTCTGTCACAGTGCTGCAGGGAGTCACTGCGCACAACAGTGAGTTGTGGCGGGTTTGTCTCGGACATGATGTTGTGTTTCTCTTTAATCTGCCATGTTGCTCCTGTTCTTCAAAGGGCTCTTGTTTGGCTCGTGTTTCTTTCTGCTTTATTAGGTTCCTTAATTATATTTCAGCTTCTTATTATTTCTTGTGATTTTTGAAATGTTATTTTAATATTCATGTAGGTTAAATTATGCCTTATGTGATGTTTAATTCAACTTTAAAGTGGCCTTTTTATCCGCGGTTCATTTGTTCTTTACGAGACGATTACAGCTTTGTATTATATAATAATTCTAGTGGAAGGGAGAGCTATTTTAGCCGGTGTTCAATGCTGAATTTGACCAAATTAAAACAAACTTCAGGGTGCTCAGACGTGGATAATATCCCTCCCTAACAGTTCTTGCAGATAGATTGGATATTTTGAATAATTATAAAATTGTAGGCTTTTATTTTTAAGATAATCAACTTTAATTTCCTTAAATTAAATTGTAAGCTTTAAATTTTAGTTTGAGTTAAGATGCAGAGATTCATCTTTTCTTTTAATATTTTTCGATAAACCCTCTCCCATCGATCCAAGCACCAAACTCCTCCATTCACGTGCGGACCGTTTCTTCCCTCAGCTGTGAACTCGCTTAAATCTTATATGGGCTGATCCGCCACTGTCTGTCTCTCTCTCTTTCCTTCTATAAGCAGGAAACTGGAGCATAAAAGACTCTTATTCTCCATAATCAAGGTCAAGAGCGTTTTTCAATAACCTCTGGGAATTAAAGCCTGGAACGGCGCCAGTTCGTCCTGCCAGTCATTTCCACAGCCAGCTGAATAATATAAAAGTTGTTGACCTTTTGCACCTCGATGGATCAATACGTTGTCGCTTTATTCAAAAAAAAAAAAAAAAAAAGGAGTTCAGTGAATTATCTGTTAATATTTGTATTTTGTTTTGGATCCCCTCTCGGCGCTGTGATAAATAGTTTCAAATAACAGATGGTGCTGGAGGCTGAGACAAAGCAGCGAAATCTGGTAGCAATTATCCTCAATTATGTTCATTGTTATTTTGAGCTAATTATTGTTATTGTCACTTTAGTTTGTGTGTCTTGCGGCGCTGCAGCCTGCAATAATGGAGCCTACGGAAGACAATGGGGAGCAGGGACATGTTGTGACGGTGAAATATGGCTTTTATAATTGAACCCAACCAGCCGCTTTAAATAAAACAGAGATCTAAATGTACAGGCTGAGGTTTCACATCACATTCACCAAGTGTCTGCGGATTAAATAGTCTAATGGGCCCAACAGACTGTATGATGGCTGCACTGTTGTTTTCCAGTCAACTCTTCGTCGTGCGGCGCAGAGAGCAAAAGGTTAATTTGGTTAATGTGATAAAAATGAGAGATGTGTTTTATTAATAAAAATTAGAAATAATAAAATATTTTTTATGCATTAAAGGCCTCATATATTCAGAAGTCATTTCCCGCCCTATTTAATATTTCCATTTGTGTTGCTGTTGGTAGGCCTAAGTAAAAGTAGATGTGCAGAGACATGAGGGGTTTCTTCTGATTCCAGGTGAATGAGCGTCAGTCTGCAGCCCATCTGCTCAGGGAGAAACTTTCCCGGTCGTTTTTCAGCCTTGTTATTGTGCGCACATGAATTTATCAGCGTTTTTACCCCTGAATCATTTTTGTAAAATCCCTTGAACAAGGACAGAGCAGTTACCGGGCCAGGACAGCGGAGGACAGCGGGGGCAGAGCGGAGGAGAGGGGCTCCGTTGCCGCTGCATGAGGAGGACCAGTCTCCACTCCCGTCTTTGTTTGGGGGCGTCTCCTCTCCCTCTCCCTCTCCTGTCCCCTCCCCTCCTCTCCTCCGGTCCCCTCCCCTCTCCCTTCCCATCACTGGCTCCCTCTCCCTTCTTCCCCGCGGGGCGGGAGAAACCCGTGTTTGGTTCTCAGAGAGAGAGAGAGAGAGAGAGAGAGCGAGAGAGTCCTCTGGGAAGAGTCACAAAGCGTTTTCCTCAGAGAGAGAGAGAGAGAGCGCGGAGTGGCGAGAGAGCTCGGGAGTCATCCGCAGGAAGCAGCGCTGCTCTGGACCTCAACACACGTCCCGGACCAGTGGGCCGAGGGACGAGAAGAGAAAGCAGAAGAGCGAAAAGAGGAAGAGAGAAGTGTCAGACAATGATGACATCTGATCTAGGTGCTAGTTGAGCTCTCTTTTCTCTGTGACAGCTTCAAGTGTGGATCTCCGAGCGCGCCAGGAGTGTCTTTTTCGCACCTTTCCACGCTGGGTCAGTCCGCTTCCTGACGTCCCTCTGGCGATTTAAACCCGTGTTTTTAAGTGACTGGCATTTTTGGATCTTACTGTTCCGATATGATCCCCCCTCCGTCTTAAGCGCCCACTCCCTCCCCAGGACTAGAATTAAAGGAATTAAAGAGTTCACCGCTTGGTTTCCAGCGAAGCGCACGCAGCAGCAGCAGCAAAGAGCGCACCCACGTTACTCTGCCTGAAAATCAGAGTGAGAGATCAGGAGAACAAGTGCACAGCGAGGCGTGGGAGAGACACGAGGAAAGAAAAGAGGCACAGGCACTAAACTACGGAGGTTTGTTCATGTTTGGGATCCAGGAGAGCATCCAGAGAAGCGGCAGCAGCCTGAAGGAGGAGCCGCTGGGAGGAATGAACGCTGTCCGGGGCTGGATGCAGGGGGGCGGCGTGCTGGACGCCAACACGGCCGCCCAAAGGTGAGCTCTGCCCGGCTGGAGGAGACGCTACCACCCTCCATTTACCAAAAAACGTGGGAACAAGGGGATATTTCTGTCAGGACCTTTGCAGCTGCCTGTGCAGGACATGGGGAGAAACAGAAGCTGCTGTCCGGAGGAAGAGATTTGGATTTAACTGCTTCGATGATCATTTGGGAAATTTAGATTCTCTTAAGAGAATAATTAAGAGAATAACACATTGGTTTGACTAATTTTAAGACAACACACTCAACAATTCATAGCTAAACAGTTAAATTTCTACACCGCCTTTTTCCACAGTTCTGAGTTTAATGAACATGAAACTAAAAGAACAAATAAATAAAACTTTGTTTTGGGTTTAAATGAGGAAAAGAAAAATCGGTCCATCACCTGTCTTTTCTAAACAATCTCAGCTGTTTTCAAGGGGAATAAAATTCTCCTCTTGTCCCACAGTCAGTGATGTATACATTTTGAGCTCCTGTCACACATTATCATGAAGAACGACCTCCAGTAAAAAAAACAAATCTGCTTCTAATTTCAAATAATCCTCGTTTTTTTTAAATTTTGACAAACCGACCTCTCTTGAAAATCATATCTTAATAAACATGTTAAATATCAGCCTTAAAACGTCATTCAAAGCAAATTAAAAATGTGCACACACTGGATTCACTCTCGCTGTTATCTTTATACAAAGTCAAAACTTTACAGCCTCTCCACTGTTCTAACACCGACTCGCTCACGCCTGTGTGTCCGCAGTGGAGTGGGTCTGGCCCGGGCTCACTTTGAGAAGCAGCCGCCCTCCAACCTGCGGAAGTCCAACTTCTTCCACTTCGTCCTGGCTCTGTACGACCGGCAGGGTCAGCCGGTGGAGATCGAGAGGACCAACTTCGTGGACTTCATCGAGAAGGAAAAGGTCGGTGCAGAAACTCACGGTGCTTTGATTCATTTCTAGATTTAATAACCCGGAACATTAATTACTATTTAAATTTTTAAAGGCCTGAATATTCCATTGTTGCGTGTGACATTACTGATGTCAATGTTTAATAACACATTTGAAACATTTAAAAGAACTAAACTTATCAATTTATTTTTATTTATTTATTATGTTTTTTTTATTATCAACATATTTTTTATTTTTATTATTGACAATTCATTATAAGTGTAAGAGACCCAGATAAAAGGCAATATATAACACGTGCTGTAACTGTAAAACCTCCTTCGATTCATTTGTGCATTTGAAAAATAAAAAATCTCTTTCCACGTTGAAATAGTTTTAATTTACGGCTCAATTCAACACATCCACTTGTTCTGTATAAACAACGGTGGGCCGACCTTTCTCCTCATCAATTATGACACCGTTTAAATGAGATGAAATGCAGCGGGAGAATTTAGCATTGGATTTATTTGCCCTGCAAACACAACCAGTAATTACAGAGGAATTAAAAAGCCACAATAACACCGTGATTACACATGGAGAAATTACAGGGGCTGCCCCGCTTTAATATGTCCGCTGTGAACATAAATCTCATGTTTATTTAATGAATGACCGGTGTGAAGAATTCAATTACTTCTTGGGTGTATTCTGTACAATTCACAGGCCTGAATGTGCAACAGAAATGCTTAAAAAAAAAAAAAAAAAAAAAAAAAAAAAATCCTAATATTTTCAATAATCAGCTCAGTGTTTGTTGTGTGTGTTAAGGAGACGAGCGGAGAGAAGACCAATAACGGGATTCATTATCGGCTGCAGCTTCTTTACAGTAACGGTGAGTGAGGAGTCTGTCACACAAACACACACTCCTACACTTATAATAAATTTCACTAAATCAGCTTGATGGGCTGTTTGCACCTGCACTAACAGAATATGCACACATGGGATAAACTGATATATATATATATATATATATATATATATATATTTTAGATTTATTGTGCAGCAGAGGGCCAACAGGCTGCCACAACTTGTTCATGTCACAGAAGCTGCAGTGTGATGTTTCACTGATGTGTAATTTGACTGATTTCTGGATAAATGTCACTATTACAGAGCAGCTGCTGCAGGCCATTAGTACCAGCTTTGTGGCTTTATCACCGTCACTGTACGCAAAATTAGTTATTCCAGCCTGAAGTGGTCTGTGTGACAGTTTGAGCTGAAGTCTGCTGGCTGCATGTTGTTGTGGTGTGTATATATAGCTGTGGATTGTGGTGTTCAGGCCTACCAGCTCAGTCTGTACAGCTGAGAGGGAAACAGCATCGACTGGCAGGAACACCCAGACTCCTCTGGGATTAAGAGATGTGGGCATAAGGCGCACTGTGCAATGTGCGAACTGTGGTTATTGACTTTAATATCTGTTGCACGTGGAAATGGACATTGCAAATGATATTGGCTGCAAGGGAGAGATGTTTTGAGCCAAAAGCCAACAGCGTTTAACACCATGAATGAAGCATGAATGGGAGTCTAATGGTTTCTGGCTGTTTGAATCACAGTTTTCAGAGACTCCAGGGTCTGAGGATAGAGGATATCTTTGTGCAAAATGTGAAAACCTTTATATTATATAAATAAAACCAACTTGGTATTACAGTTAAAAAAAAAAAAGAAAGAAAGAAAAAGAAACACACAGGTTGACTAACATTTATTTTCAGTGTGTGAATTGTTAAACAGCTACTGGCTAATTTTTAATACACACGCGCACACACACACACACATACAAGCTTCTCCAGTTGTTTCTAACCTTCGTGGCTTGTGACCTGTTACAGTGACGCTACTGTGTGTCTGTGTGAGCAGTTCAACCAAAGACTGATTAGCATATTCCTTCTCAGATTGTTTTACTTGACTCATGTGTCGAGGCCTAAACAAGTGAAATTATTTACAAGATTTCCCTCGTAAAAAAAGCTGAAAAATAGATTTAATGTTGTTTTCAGAAATATATTTTTTCTGTATCCCTGTTCTCTTAATCACCTTGTGACTCCTTAAATTTGTGGGTGCTCCCTGCTGTGTGAGGCAGGAATAATTAAGCTCATTAATTTTTTCCCACTCTGATCACTTTTTTTTATGTTTACCTAATTTGACATATTTTTAAATGCAGTTTCTTGTGTTGTTCTGCTTGTCAAAATCTATGTCAGGTTTATGATTATTATTTTCTGTTCTTCTGCTGCTTCCCAACAGGCATCAGAACAGAGCAGGACTTTTATGTTCGACTCATAGACTCCATGACTAAACAGGTAAACACACACACACACACACACACACACACACTCTCTCTCTCTCTGTCACCTCTCCTGTTACCTCTCTGACAATGAGCTGCTCCACTGATCCGCCTGTACTCCGCCGACCGCCTCTATCTGCATGTACTTGCGCACACACACACACACACAAGTGAGTGTGTGTGTGTGTGTGTGTGTGTGTGTGTAATTCACACACTGGGTGTTTCCAGTGTCTGTGTGTGTGTGTGGGTGGGTGGGGGCACACACACACACACACACACACACACACACACACTGCATGGCTCCAGGCGTTTTTGCCTGTACTTCTCTCGCTGTGATTAGAGTGAGGAGGCAGCGAGCGGGTGTTGAGGAACAGGAGCGTAATTCTGCTGCTCACAGTAGGAAGTGGAAAGATATAACGGCACCTCTGGGATTTGGTCTGCTGAGTAGAGAGCATTTTCTGATCAGATCCAATTTTCATGTTAATGTTTGTGTTTTTGTTTATATGTACTTTTATGTGAGAGAGAGCGATAGAGAGAGCAGCAGGAAGAGTTGGGAGAAAGAAAGAGAGAGAGAGGCAAACTGAACAACACAAGACAGACTGTTAGTGCTGGATGTTGCTCAGGTAAACAGTTGGGATGAGGACTACATTCTTTTTGTTTTTTGCACAAGAAGCACAGAGTGAGAACTTTCTGTCAGGTGTAATGCATCGTGTGTGTGTGTGTGTGTGTGTGTGTGTGTGTGTGTGTGTGTGTGTGTGTGTGTGTGTGTGTGTGGCGAGGTATGAGGAGCCAAGAAGCCACGCTATGCGGTGAACGCTCGCTAATGTGACTCCGTGCTCTGATAGAGTCTCACATTGCTGCTGCCATGCCGCACCACATACTGTGTGTGTGTGTGTGTGTGTGTGTGTGTGTGTGTGTGTGTCTGGCAGGCTTAAGGGACCACACTGTTCCCTAATGACACTGTTTAGCTTGAGCATGGTGGGGTGACAGCCAGCTACATGCGCTCACACGCACGCAGTCGGCCCTTGCTCCCAGTGGAAGATTCAGACTAGAAAAAGGCGAATTTGATCCCCTCAAACACACACACACACACACACACTTTCATTTTTCATGCTCACTGTTGTGTGACTAATTAAACTTCTTTTTTTCTATTAAAAGAGATTTTTTAAGTTTGGAAAGGAAAAGTAATTTTTCCTAAGAGATGCTGATGCAGGCAGGTGTGTGCTGCACCTGTGGCCATCTGCCTGTGTGAGTGCTGGTCTGTATGTGAGTGTGTGTTTGTGTGTGAGTGGGGGGGGGTTATATGTGAGTGAGAGCATGTATATATGTGTGTAGGCACTTAGGCAAAACTGCACATGGAGCAATAAAGCATGCTTTGTTTTGTGTGTGTGTGTGTGTGTGTGTTCCCAGTGGTAGAGCAATGGAACACTAACAGGTGGTCAAACCAAAACAGCCGTGTGGTTGGCTTAGATGGTCAGTGATGTCATGGCCACTGTCTCTGTAACCACACACACACACACACACACACACACTGCTGGTCAGCGACTCATTGTTCCCAGTCACTGTTGTCTTACCAAACAGAAGAAATGAAGCTGCCTGGGTTTCTATCTAATGTTGTAAATTCATTCAATAAGTGAAGGGATGCTGCTAAAAACCTCTCAGTAGTTGTGTAAACGTTGCTCTACAAAAGGCCTGTAGAGAACGTGAAGGCGAAACATCGACTTCTACTCCAGAAAACTTCATTCACTATCACACTGACGGGCGGCTGAGTGGCTGCGGTTACGTCACTCACCCCAGTTATAATTCGGCTGTAGCAGCAGCAGCACAGCTCTCACTTGTTTCAAAGGTGAAAACTCCATTTTTGAATGCTAACAAATTAATTGGGCACGGCGGGTTCAGGTACTAATAGCAAGTGCTGAAGACACTAATTTATCTCTGTATATAGAAAGTAAACCTCAGGGACATGTTACACTTTCGTTTTTCTTTTCTTTTTTTTGGCCAGTGAAACTAACCCTCGGTGAGAGACTGCATAGAGTCACAGAAGCTAATGGAGCAGCAGCTTGTCAGGAAGTGATGTCAGGACACATGTCAAAACATTATGGGGCCTTTAAAGTACAGATTTCCAGATTTGGTTGTTGTTGTTGTCAAGTATTAAAATCGGTAAAAGTCGGGATGAGTTTTGCTGAACTGTAGTTGTGCTGCATGCTGTTATTTGGCTCATCGATTCCGTTTCTCTCTTATTTATGATTTTGATTCTACAGTGGTTGGCACCTGCTTCTGTTATTCTGCTATTTCAGGCTGTTTTCCTGTTCGTGTGTGTGTGTGTGTGTGTGTGTGTGTGTGTGTATGCATGTGTTGGGTGGGCCAGCGTTGATTGTGTTTAAATGGAGGAGCAGAGCACCTCCTCGCCTTCAGAAGCTGAAGCGTGGCGTCGGTTGATCATGACTCCGTTCCAGAGAATAAAGCGTCTGTCACTGCGGCCCTGTCGGATCACTAGCTCGCTAGTCGACCTGACACTAACGCAGGAGGAAGTGTGTTCCCCTGCTTAACGGCTCCTTGTTTACATGCCGCGCATGTCACGCCACTTCAAAGGTGGAGGAGAGAGCGGCGGAGATGCTGTATGAAAGGCTTGGTGAGGCGGAGAGAGGGAGGAGACAGAGGAGGAAAAGGCAGATGAAAGAGAGGAGCAGAGAAAACGAGGTGACAGTGTGAAAAAGAGAGCAGAGACAAACGATGGCCGGGAAGGGAGAGGAAGTTACACACTCGCACACGGGAGCCTGACAAAGAAGGTGGATTAAATGTTATCCGCGCTTTTTTTGTTAATTGTGTCAATAAAAATGCCAGGCGGCTCGGGTTGCCGAGCAGGAGAGACCTCAGGATATTAGACACTTCAGACCTCAGTCTACCACTTTTTTCTGAGTGGCAACTTTTTATGACCCACAGTATCTGAGGTGTCACGATGCAGTAAAGTGGCGCAGTCGTGAAGTCCAAACAGATCCAGAGTCAGCAGGGGAAGAACTGGATATTGTCTGCAGTAAAAAAAATAAACAAAAAATTATCTGTTTCTTTAGTTCATCTCTTCGCACCAGTTTTGACATGATCAGATGTTTTCACTTTTCACCACAGAGGTTTTTTTCATATGAATTTAGACCCTATATTTCACTTTTCACTCTTCTGGTTGAACAACTCTTGCTGCCTACAGACGTCTGTCCTCCTTCCCTGCTAAATATGTAAATCTATGTTCTGCCGCAGAGTTAACAGCAGAGGCGATAATCCTTTAAAAATAAGGTATATCAGGATTTATTGACCTCTTCTGTGATTTTGGAGGAAAGCACAGTTACATCCGGCCTACTTCTGTTTCGTAAAGATAAATGCACTCACCTGGCCCAAGGTGTGTGTGTGTGTGTGTGTGTGTGTGTGTGTGTGTGTGAGATAGAGAGAACAAAAGAGCAAAAGTGCAAAGAAGAGAGAAGAAAAGAGAGGTTGAGATGACATTGATGCATGTTTGTCCAGGGTAGGAAGCAAGTTCAGAGGAAGTTGCATGGCCCACTCTTTTCCCATGGCACGGTGAGCAGGTCTAATCATAGACAGAACTATGGCTTATAAAGTACATTTCCTCTTCAAATTCTGCCTCTTCTATCTTTTCCTAATGTTCCCACACTCACATTTGCTTTTGTTAAACCATAATCGAGGGGAAAATATTACAGCTGAGATGTTGATGGAAGGGGTCTAGAGGAACAGTTTCAGATGTCTTGGCCGTTGGATCGACCTCAGTGTTGTGTTACCAGGAGCTTCTTTGCTTTGGCCGGAGTCAGTTAAACTGTTTTCAGTCTGGATACCTGTTTATTTTGTTTCTTTGGATACATGAATTCACTTCCCATGCGGCTGAAATTGTAATTTATCCTCTACTCTGCTGTCGCCTTGCACAGCTTCTGTGGTAAAAGTGGCTCTGTTGGAAATGTTAGCTTAGCTATAGCTCTGTCTACCTGTAGTTGCACTTTGTGCTTTGAGCTTAGATTGTTTTTGTTTCATATTACACACACTGGACCACCAGATTCCCCTTGAGGCTCCAGGTCCATGTGTCGGTACATTTTCAGCTGGAGTATATGCACACGCAGGGAAAATTATCATATCGTAATGCGGCAAGTCTCACTGTTTTCCATCAACGCTGCAGAGCCCCAAGCGACTTTCCAAGGGCCATGTGGGGCTTTAGCGTCTACAAATGAGGGGCTCAGTCTACAGTCTCGGCTCATGTTGGAGCCCCATATGGAACATGCTGGCCCCGAGGTCCCCGTCACGGCTCAAACACAGGCTAGATTTCTGTCAATTCTTGGAGCGCCCAGTTTTTCCAAAGGACAACTTTTCTTGCACAAAATAGTGCAGTGAAAAGCCATGTTGAGTCTTGTCATTGAATAAGAGAGAGAGAGAGAGAAATCTGTTGGGAAACGAAATCAGTCATTCATAATCCCCAGACTTTTGAGTTGAGTTTTGGCTTGTTTGACACGTCATAACCTTTCCCGGTCATAGTTAGACAGTGAGCATGCGTGACAGGTGAACTTGCATTATCAGGGTCACAGTTGAATACGTTGTGTTTTCTGTTCATCGAAGTGTTGCACGTTGTTTCGACTCGTGAAGCTTTCACTCGGCTGAATTACCTTCATTTCTTCTGTTCCCCCTGATGGCAGCAGGTCGTCTGAACCCGCGCTGAAGACTATTACAGAGGACAGTGAAACTTCTTCAGCGCTCCCTGAGAAAAGTGAGCTTGTCACTCGGTGGAAGTCGCCGCTTTGAGGAGCGACAGATCAAACGGACTGGAATAGACCAAAGACAGACAGGGCGTGTGTACTGATTGATAGATAACTTAGTGGCGTGTGACTTGTGCTTTTTTTTTCGCTTTTACCCTGAACCGGAAATGTTGTGTAGTTGAAGCAGGTGAAACGCCCTTTTTTTTTGTGACCGCTGCTCTGGACGTTCAACTTTGTTCCTGGCATCGCTCGACTTCAGAGACTCACCTGATCAGCGAGTGAGCAGAGGAGATGTGGTTCGTTATTTTGTGGATGTTCTCAAACAGTGTGTGTGTGTGTGTGTGTGTGTGCGCGCGTGTGTGCGCGTGTGTGTTTTGGAGGGTGACAGACGCCCCGTGCAGAGACAGTTGTGAGAGACAGGGTGTGAGTGTATGTATGTGATGTGGAGGTGTTACTGCTGAACTGCATGTTCTTTGAGGTGAAGTGGGAACTGCCACAACCTGATGGAAGAAAAATAAAGGCACACCACAGCAACAAAAAAAAAACAAAAACACTAATTCCTCCCAGTTTGACATTATCATTGTGTTTTCTTTTCAGCTGCAAAAATATCACCTCAGATATTGAGTGCAGTGTGCTGAGAACATGCAAATACATTTTCATGCATCCATGCACTGATGCAGACGACCTTCAACAGCAACAATCCTCTTCTGCTCACTCAAACGATGATAGGATGTTAAGTTACAATTCATTTCTAGAGCTTATTGTGAACACATTCAATGAAAAGGCAAAACCAACAATGAAATATTAACAAGTTGCCGATGAGTTGTGTGCTGAAACTGTTCTGCAACGGCGAGTAAAAACGTATCACTGTTGCACGGGGCGCCATGTTCCCTCATTATCACAAACACGGGCACTGTAGTTCATTTGGAGTCAAACATACATGCACCGTCTCGCAGCTGTAAATACTCACCAGAGCACCAAACAAACACACTGTTTCTTCCTGTCTGAGTAACGTTTGTTAAAAACTACAATGCCCAGCTGTTTAAGGAAATGAAATAGCTTCTTTCTTTCTTTTATTTCTGTTATTATAACTTAACCAGCACCGTATCAGGGATGGAGAAGATTGTTTGCTGGATTTATGTTTACTCTGTCTCTCAGCTCACAGTGTATTTTCTTTTTCTTCTCTGTGTCTCTCTCTTTTCAGGCGATTGTTTATGAAGGCCAAGACAAGAACCCAGAGATGTGCAGAGTGCTGCTGACACATGAGATCATGTGCAGGTGAGGATGACTGCAACGCGTCTTTCATCAGCTCACCTTCATCCTCATCATCGTCCTTCCTCTCTCCTCTCATCTGCTCCTCTTTTCTTCTTCTTCTGCTGCAACATACTTTGTTCATCTGCAGGAAGTTCTCACCAGTCACCTCTCTGTGCTCAATACATTTCTTATTTTGTCAACCTCATTAACCCCCCCACACGTTCGCATACACACCAAACCTTATCTGTTGAGGAAGATGAGTTTTAGCTATCAGAGTCGTTGCTTTAATTATAATCTAAAGATGAATTTCTTCGGAAGTAGGTTGGGAGGAAAGAGTTCTATTTATAGAGGCATTTTACCAACCTATCCTATACAATGGAAGATGTGTGTGTGGATGCATGTGTGGTGCGTGTGTGTGTGTGTGTGTGTGTGTGTGTGTGTGTGTGTGTGTGTGTGTGTGTGTGTGTGTGTGTGTGTGTGGGTGTCTGGACGCTGGTATTAGGAAACAGAGAAACTTCATTAGTCGAATCGAAACTCCTCTGTTGTTTCATGGCTACCGACACAAATGGGCCTTCCTCCACAGTCTGACTATAAAATATTAGCATTGGACTCACACACACACACAGCAACCACACACAGATAACAACACACATTACTCACCAAATGAGAATGCATATGCACACGTCGCTCGTGCCACACCACTTATAAAAATTCAAATTTAGCACATGACATTAAGTTGTTCTTATTTCCCTGACCTTCTGTCAGTGGAACAACTGTAAGTTACATATAAATTGGGTTCATCTGTTATGCACAAAGCAGGATTTAAACCGTAAATCAGGCACACTAAATGCTTGATGTTCTTATGAAAGCTGGGTGCTGAATATTCCTCCGAGCAGTTCAGCTGCAGAGGGTTTATGGGCGGTGTGGGAAAAAGAACTATTGAGGAGATTCTGATGTGATTTGCAAACGGATTTATAAATAAATTGTATTTTGGCAACAGATTTACTGAAAAATTATTGTTGTTCATCATGTGACGAATGTCTTGCGGACAAGATTTGAACTGTTGTGCATTGTACAGCATGCATGAACTTGTACTTTTTACAGTGGAGTAGACGGTCTGTCCGCCCTGCTGTCTTGTCCTGCAGGATTTATTCAAACGTTTCCCTTGGGGGAGCAAACAGTGCAGCAGTCGCGCACAAAGTACGACTTCTGCAACAGGTAACTGTTCTCGTCTGGCAGCAGCTGCTGAGGCATAAGTTACGGCTGTCTGTTGCCTCGTGGTTCTCACATGGCTATTCTGCAGCGTTGGGCCTCACCCACAACACACAACGTTGAGCACCATCACAACACAAAGAGCTCAGGGCGTCCATTATCCTCTGTGGCTCATTGTTCATGGTGGTGCTATTAGCCATATGCCTCCCAGACAACTCTGCCACCACACAGGACTGCCGCGAAACCTGTTGCGAAGCTCTGGGTGCACAAAAAACTATTGGAAAGGTTTTTACCGCTAATGGACGATTAGGGAGAATGCAACAGTTGTTATTGTTTTCTAGTGGAAATATTGGTTTACTTTTATTTCTCTGTGTTTAAAACATTGAAAGAAGAAAAATGTCCAGTAGCAGAATTTCCCACTGCGGTAATTGCCTCTTGAAAAATGAAGATAATGTAATATTTGAAATGCCAATATCTCATTAGGAATTTATACTACACAAGATTATCAAAACATAGAGTCATGTATTAGTTGTATATACTCATGAAGTGACAACAAAGAAAACAGCAAGGGCAAATCATGAAAAATGCTTTGAGTCAGGTGGCTTAAAGCTGGGA